CATAATCAGGCTTCAATCTTATCTTTGGAGACTCTACCACAGCTCCAAAATAAAGACTTAACCCTTGGCAAGCAGCATCTGCCTTACTAAACTGCAGGGAGCAAATCACTATACAGCACCAGGGTTAAGTCTTTATTTTGGAACTGTGGTAAACAACGAATGATCATTGGCCCTGGCAAAGAGTGGTTATTTTAAAGCTGCAGAAAGTTGTTTTGAGAATTCAGGAGCCTCTTGTGCCTTAAAGTAATCAATGGTCTATTGTTTCCTTAAACTTACTAACTCACACAAAAGCATGGAAATAATATAGGGGAAAATGTGCAGAGAAGAAAGAACAAATCTTCTCTATGTCTGGTTCAAGCAGTCAGGGAAATAAACAAACAAAAAATTAACTGCATCTATAAACCACAAGTACATACAAAATCATACAGAAAGCAAACCTCCTAGAGACAGCCAGATTCCCAGCTGGTGGGAAGTGGCACTGCCAAACTTTATGAACTAAAATTGATTTACACCAGTTGAGAATCTGACCCAGTTTAGTTTAATCTTCTTGGGTGAGTTCTTCTCTCATTTACATTACTCAGGACTTCCAGCCAAGTCAATGGAATTAAACCAATGTAAATTCACAGTGAGAGGAGACTCAAATCCCCTGGTTCTCAGGCAAAAGCTAATATGGAATAAAAGAGTTAAAAGCAGTGGTTGGGTTGATATACAAACTCACATAATCCCAGTCCTTCCCAGATCAAAGGGAGGAGGTGGATTAGGTTTGTTGAAAAAAGAAAGCATATACTTCAGAGGAACGATATCAGTTACATCAGTTGGATTTACAGTTTTCTGCTACACATCCACTCACACCAATACTTTCTTTTTTAATGGCTCCTGTTGTGGTGTAGTGCTCCTGTTGTAGTGCTCCTTTAATGGCTCCTGTTGAGGTGCAGTGCTGGTAGGGAACAGAGAAGAGAGAAGCAGGCACTACTAATGGCTCCTGTACTATGGTGGCATTGTGTGTGTATGGTCGGTATGTATACTGTCAGTGTCAGGACTGGGAATGAGGGGGGGTGACCATCACCAAGGATTCCTGTAGCAGTGCAATTACTGCACGCTGGTGGCTCAGCTGCCTTTCGTTTGAATTGTCTGGAGGTGGATAGAAAGGCCCCATATAACTTTTTCTTAACTCCGGCACCTCAAGCCAGGCCATCCTTTGAACGTTTCCCAGCAAGTTGAAATCATCTGTGGTACATGCAGTGCAGCCTGGGGACACGGAGCTATTTTCAAAAGGTGAAACAGATTTTTAGAGGTTGAAAAAATTTTTAATAGTGGATTTTTATTTTTTTTAAATGGGAACAGTTGAAATAAGCCCATAGGGAGTCCTGCTAACATCTATGGGAGGGAAGCGGGAGTGCATGTTGCTGAGGTTTTATTGACCCTGGAGCACCTCATCTGAATACTGCCATATAATCTATGTCCTCTGAGACTGATTCTAACATTCTAAACAGATGCTTAAAAACACCCTGCCTCTTTCCCCAGAATGTGCAATTTCCCCATATGCCAGACCACAAATTTACCCAAGTTTGAGACTGTAGCTCAGGCAATATTTAAGTTCTCCACCAGTGGCCTGATCTCATGATGCATCAAGCTTAGAAATGGGTTCTCTACCCAACTTGAAAGGGGAAATTCCCAACTTTCCAATGGGGCCCAAAGCAGAATTTACATCTAGATCTTGAAAAACCCAAGATATCAGACCTTAAAGTTGTAACATTTTTATGTCTGAGCTCTGAACAGATGAACAAATGCCAATTAAGGCATACAGAGTTACCTGTGTAGAGATATAAGAAACAATCACAATGCAATAAAAAAGAGTTCTGATATGTTTATAAAATCTTTCCCTCCCCCCGTACAATACATGGCATGTAGAGAATAAAGCATAATGTGGTATGGTATAAAGGTTTTAGCAGTGCTCATTTGAGATCACCTGCATAATTTACTCATGGCTGTACCAATTATGAGCAATCCAGCTATCTAAAACTCGTGTTTTAAATCCTTTATAGCACCCCACATCTTCATGATTTCCATACATACACATTGCCATAATATATGGGACCACATATCATCTTAAGCTGGAAGCGCTTATTAAACTGAATAAATGTAAACTATAGACACAAACAAGCAGACTTCCACACAGCTTGAGTTTCAACTATGTCTCCTTTATTTATCAGGAAACACATGCTTTCTGAAAATCTGTACAGAGCCCAGAGGAATCTAATAGCTGAATAATGCTCTCCAAGTAAATCTATTATTAAACACTTACACACATAGATATTATACATAGGAATCATAGCAAGGTCTATACTTAAGGCTGCCTAAGGGTTTCCATTTTAAAGGACATTTTTCCATTGGTTTTTTAATGCTTTTCTATTTTCAGCTGAAATTTGATATGTTTGCTCTCAGTCAAGGGACATATTTTTTCTAACCGTCCTTCCAAATCAAGTGAGCCATTTTCAAGTATGAAAGGGTGAAAAAGGCAGTTATTCTGCTAAGAAAAATGTTATCCTCTTTCTTTGAACAGCTCCAGAGCTGATGGAATCTTAACATTTGGCAGAAACATAGCCCCTAGGTTGTAGATGTGCCTTTGATTAGTCTAGTGAAAATCACATTTGATTTGGCAGAGTTAAGATTTAATAAATGTTTTCCACACATATGCACTGTACTTTCTCATACCCGTACACAGAGAGCTAGCTGTATAGCACACATACACACACAGATATATAATGGACCCTTGGATAGTGCATCAGGAGCTGGGGGAATGATAGAGATGTATGCCAATCCAACCATTCACAAACCGGGAAAAATTAACTAAGGGTGGGAGAGGCCAGGACCAGAAAAGACAACAGCACACACAGCTCTTCTTCACCCCCTCACAGCCCAGCACCCCCCCACCCAGGCCCTCCAGACACCCGCTCCCTCATGCCCTGCCTCCCGGCTGCACTCACCGGCCCTGCTGGGAGGCAACTGTCTGCTGAGCTGAGCTGCCAGTGCAGCCGGGGCTGGTCCCGGGGTGGGGAATCGCTCTGGCTCCTCGGGAGTGGTACAATCAGCCAGGCCAGGGCCTGCCCCAGCTGGGCTCCCTCAGGACCCACTTGCCTGGAGGGGCCCAGTCAGGCCCCACACACTGTCTCCCCCGAACTGGCTGAGACTAGCCAGGCTTCTGAACCAGTCCTGGGCAGCTCAGCTCCAGGGAGACAGGTGGAGCCCCACAAGTGGTGGGAAGCAAAGACTGCCTGGTGCCGGAGGTGCACTGGGGTCTGGCCAGGGGGCAGAGAGAAGTCGGCGGATTGGAGCCAGGGGATGAAGAGGAGCCCTCGGCGGTCAGGCCGAGAGGAGCAAGTGGTGGGCAGGGTGGGGGGAGACAGCGGGCTGGCGGGGTCTCAGGGCACAGTGCAAGCAGAGCAGGCCGGGGCTCCTTCTGAGCATGGGCCCGGCTCCATAGCACCACTGGCACCATTGTAAACCTGGCACTGCTCCAGACCCCTCTTGAAAGCATTTATGTTTCACCTAGATGCCCTAGAGGGGCAGGACTCCATCTCAGATACTCTTCCGACTCTTACAGGGTCACTTGCAGCGTTGTTGTAGCTGTCAGTCCCAGGTCATTAGAGAGACAAGGTGGGTGAGGTAATACCTTTTATTGGAAGTTGGTCCAATTACCTCACCGCCTTGTCTTACCGGGTCATCTTTCATATGCAATATTGTTGTAGCTGTGTTGGTCCTAGGATAGTAGATAACCCAGGAATTTGGATTCTGTTGTTCCAATAAAATATATTACCTCACACACCTTGTCTCTCTAGGCTCATCTTTTTGCATTTCCTTTTCATCCTTCAATGCTGTGCATCTCCTCTTTTTTTTCATCCTGTAGTTGCCCCTTATTCCTTCTTCCTAATCTTCAACTCACTGTTCCTTCTGCCCCCTACTGCTGCCACATCCTCCCCATTTCCTGTGTATACACAGGCTTTGGGGCGTCTAAAATCACCAAACGCAGAGTGAGGGGCCCATTTTTGAAAACTGGGCTCTGGAGGGATCACTTCCTCCTCCCCTTGCCATGCAGCAGTCTCTTTGGTAGGCATTTAATAGTGTACAAACAACATCTTAGGACAGGAACTATCACATGTCGTATCTACTTGACACTACAGGGGGAATTTAGGCAGACAGAATGTAACTGGCCAAATTGCAATTTGGCCAGGATACGGAGGCTAATTCTCTTTCAAAAAGCATTGTGGGATATTCAGGTGGTATATATAGGCCTAGCTGTACTGTCTGACCCCAGAAATTTAGCTTGGTTTTATACCTTATCTGAATGATGCCACTTCCTGCAGCAACGTGCCCCTAGCTTCATTCTGGGGCATTATTTCAAATCAGTCTTGATTTGGATGAAAGCAATCCTGAAACAACTGAGCACAGTGCTGCTTAGTTTTGAGATTGGAACAGATCAGATTACTAACCTTCATTTCCTCCTTCTGCCTTCTCTGCTCAGCTCCCCTTGCCCAGCATTGCACAGTGGATCCTTCCATATGATTTTGTCTGGAAGGAGTTCCTGAGCAGGTCAGAGGAATAGGTGAAGAGTGATGTGGTGAGTTCCTTCCACGCAAGCCAATGTGCCAAGCTTGCCATTTCCAGTTTTACCATTTTCCACTTGTCTCACAGAAAGAAAACTGCGTCTGTGGGGACCTCAGCATGCCAGAGACTAAACTAAGATCATCTTATTTGAGCTGTGGCAGGATTTGATTAAATTCAGATTGTCAGAGGTGTAAGATTGTTTCATTAGCAAAAATGGGCTAATGGCCCTTCATCGGCTGCACCACATCATGACATGAAGGTTCTTTCCAATTGCCTCTCCTCCATGCAGCTGGAATTGCTTTCTCGCTCAACACTAAACTATGGGATGTTTGTAATTAAGCTTTTTTTCCCCTTTTCTTTAAAAGTAGCATTTGGAGCTCCATAAAGTCATCTGGAAGTGCCATGAGCCTTTGGACTGAGTTGGATGTGCACATGGCTGCCAGGACCGGATATCTATTGGCGCAAATGCGAAGCTTTGTGTTGGAGCTGGGACACAGGAATGTAAAAGTTCGAGAGACTCTGGCCAGAGTCCTGATCTCTCCAGATGGTCACAGGATATAAACTGCAGCTGGGAGGCAAGTTCCAGAACCCTCCTAGAGAAGCTCTGAGGCTGCAGAATCGCGTTAGACAAAAAGGAGAAGATGAGGAAACTTCTGGTGCTGCTACTCCTGACCCTGGCCCTGGCAGTCTCCTGCTATTGTGAAAGAGGTAAGGGGACACAGCATTTATCTCACCTGGAGTGTTCTCTGCGTGTATTATTGAACACTTAAAACCTGAGAAGACTGCCTGCTCAAGAGGAGACCTGATTGGGGCTAGGCAGTATACAATGGGCTACTGCACTGGCAAGGTGTTATATTATATAGGTCACAAATAAGAATGGGTTTGGGGGTCTCCAGCCTAATCCCAAATAGACATTTGCCTCCACTAGGACACAAACTATTGCACAATTGGGCATGACTGGCAATCTCAGAAATCCAGTTTAGGATTTAGGTGAATTAGCAAAACTGGGTCCCCAGTTTTGGACAAATGGATTTCGCTGCAGGTCAGAATTGAGAGGAATTAGCTAAACTGGATGGACACTGGGGAAGGCTATGTTATATCTGCCAACCCTGGAAAGTTGTACCGTGCCCAGAGACATCTGAGGAGAAAAATAAAGCTACACTTTTTAATTCCATTGAAATATGTTGGACTGGGAGAGGTTTTGAAGGCACAATGGAAAAAATGGCAGTGATACTGTTAAAAAAATATGGTTATAGGATATAAACTACAGCTGGGAGGCAAGCTCCAGAACCCTCTTAAATAGGAAATAGCTGAAGTAGCCATAGAGGGGTGAGCTGCACAGCTGGAGCGGGGTGGGAGACCTAGATCTGAAATAGCAAGTGTTCAGCCTCTCTCTGCTTTATACAGAATGGACAGGGATGGGAAAGGAAGGGTAGAAAGCTTGCCCTGTACTTGCCTGTACTATGCCAGTTCTCGTCAGTGTTAAATTCCTCTGTGTTAAAGATGACCCTGTAAACGAAATACGCTCTCACAGGCATCAGATGGGTGAGAAATTAGTTAATATTTTGCAACACAGTTTTTAATCTTTGATTGTTTTCCCCTCAGAGAGCTTCTCTCCTTCATTCCTGGACAGTCTGCTCTAAAGCAGCTATTGTATACCAGTCTGTTCATTAGTCTGGGTCCTTTATCAGTTTCCATGTGGAGTGCAAAATACAGATTGGCTCCACAAACCTAGAGATTTCCAGAAGGCTCCATTCTACAGCAGACAGCATGTTGCCCTCTGACATTTCGTAAAGACTCATTGTCTCCTGGTATAGGTGGCACAGTTTGGATAAAACAGGAACTGGCCAATACCTTTGCCAAAACTCACAGTTGAACTCCTGAATCTTTCTAAGGTTAAAAAGCATTAAGTTAAAGTCTCCCCATTCCCTCTCATCTGCAACCTTCTCCTCAGAGGAGGAGGTGAAGGGGGTATCAACGTGGTCACTACTTTCTATCTCCCTTAGTACAATCCTTCATCTGCCTGCCTCACCTGCTGGTAGTGTCTAGTACAGGAGGCTGGGGGTCAAATGTCCTAGTGTCTATTCTCTGCTGTGTTACCTTAGGCAAATCACTTACCTCTCTATGCCTCAGTTTTTCCAGCTGTAATATGGGGATTATAGTGCTTACCTAAATCACAAGGTAATTGGGAGAATTAACTAGTTAGTGTTTGGTGATCACCTGGAGATCCTCAGATGAAAAACACTGGAACTATTATTAATCACATTATTACTAAGACTCTGATGAGGGCTGCTGCTCTGCTGGGTTCTCTATGGCTAAGGGCTGGGGATTCAATGCAGTGTGGCAGTCAGTGCTCTAGACTCACATGAACTTCAAATGAGCACAGCACTGGGGGACAGGTGCATGGAGTGTACTGGGGCAGAATGACCATGACGAGGCTGCCTGGGGAGCTTTGACTAAAGATGGGGGTGGTGTGAAGTCTGCTCATCTCCTCTAGGGGCAGAGGGAAGGGGATGGGGTAGAAGAAAGTTGGCCAGGTTAACTTCCCCCGCCTGCCTCTGGTGGCAGGTTGTTTGCATGGCTGAGAAGAGGAGCTGGGGACTGCTTGGGGGTAGAGTTCATTTGGAACATAGTGAATAAGACATCTACTATTTTCCCCTTTCTCTTCACTGTGATGAATGTGACACCGCAAAACTGCTGGTTAGCTCTCAGACGCTGCTAGGTAACGGCCAGATTCTGATGCCCATGCTCAAGCTGAGTAAGACCTTACTCTGCAAATCAGACCCATTGAAGTCAATGGTACTACTTAAGTAAGGTGTATTTAACATGAGCCTGAGGGTCACAAGCTAAACCTAAATGACTTAGGGTCAAACTTGGATACCCAGACTCATGCTGAATAGCACCTTTCTCCACAAATAGTCTGCAGGGTCTGATCAGACAACAAATGTGTCTTGCTGGTGTAAATGCACATGGTGCTTTGGAAAAAAACAACAACAAAAAACCACAACCCTCCCCTCAAAGAGTTTACAATCTAGCAATTAATCAACATATTTATGTTCCTAAATCTTCTTTGTCCCCTTAAATACACTTCTAATACAACAGCAGATGGGATTTGCCATGGGTGGAAGAGCGATATGTGAAGAACTAGAGCAGAGCCCGTGTGGTATGGAGTGGCAAACAGAGTATGGCCCCCAGTAAGATCAGAGGGAATTCCCCTTGGGTGATTGCAGGGACTATCGAAGGTTAGAATTAAGAATGAATTTGGTACATACAGTGGGTTCTTATGTTCTTATGTCCCTATCCTCTGGTTGCCAGAAGCTGGAATGGGCGACAGGGGATGGATCCCTTGATGATTACCTGTTCTGTTCATTCCCTCTGGGGCACCTGGCATTGGTCACTGTCGGAAGACAGAATACTGGGCTAGATGGACCTTTGGTCTAACCCAGTATGGCCGTTCTTATGTTCCTCTTTAGATGACTGGAAAGCTGGTGTTGTGACACGAACACAGACATTACATTCTTCCCTGTACCTCAGTTCTGGTCTACAATGCTCCAGAGGGCAGGACTATTCCTAAGTATTTTAATACCTGCCTCCTCTTCACATTCTGTCAAAGACCCTCAGCTCCTCAGAGAGAACAAAGAAACACACCTTCTCAGTGGAGAAGGAGGAGAGATGGTGCCATCCAGGCTGCGTCTACACTAGGCATTTTGGGCAAAATTTCCCATTATTTCTACCACCACTGAAGTTCTTTTGATCGTATCTCTAATGTAGACAGGCTTCCCATCTTGGCATTTTTATCACTATGTCATCTTGCTCCAAGCAAGCTGAAATGACACTATGCGTATGTCTACACTAGAGCTGGAGACATGATTCCAGCGCTGGTGGACATACCTGTGCTAACGCTGATCGGCAGGAGTGGCTAGCCATCCTGAGTATGTACCTATGTTCTTGGACAGGATCATACTTGGAGGGATAGCCCCGCCAGCTGCTCACACTGCTGCAGCCACACTCCTGTTTGCAGTGCACGGGGCTCAATCAGAGTTAGGTCAAGTATATCTTTGTGAGCTGGAATTTACACCTTCCCGCTCTCATGCAGAGATACCCTATAAACTCTGGTGACACTGACAGAGCTGAACCAGTATTAGCAATGGTGGGAAATTTTTGCCCCAGACTTCTAGTGCGGACAAGGCCCTAGTGGGGGCAGAGAGATAAAAATTCCCAATGTGGGAAGGGAAATGGTGTTGCCCAATAAGGGAGGGAGATACAGTCATCCAATGGGGGCCAAGGACTGGAGTCACTTGTTTGGTTCCTGCATGGTATCCCCTGACTCCTATTCTTTGTTTTCCAGATTCAAAGGACTCCTTGGAATCACATGGTGTTGAAGGTGAGTATCTTGCTATGACTTTCCCCCATCTCTGCAAGTGTCTCAAGCCCTGCATCTGCCTCCATCTTTCCCATTATCAGGATTAGGGAATGAGTGAGATGCTTATGGAATCCTCTCGTTTCTTTCTCCTTCCTTGACCAACACTGAGATCTATAGCAGGTGTCATCATGAGTCCTCTCGCCTCAGCAGAACACCCGTGACAACTAAAGGTCCAATTTTCACATGGCCTGGTGGAACTGAAGACCCTGCAAACAGTAGGAAGCAGGCAGCAGTGACATGAGCAGGCTGAGGTTTTCAACTCTCAGATAAACCAGGACATGAGGCAGGCCAGTCAACAATCATGTTGCCCTGGGAGCTACATGGGGATTAGGGTGTGAGCTAGCTGAAGTAATAGCAGAACAGAGGGATACCCATAATGGATGTCACAGAAATGGCAGGGCTCCTCTGTTGGCTGGAGTTAGAAACATGCAGGAGTTAGAAACATGCACCAAGCTGCTCAGTTAGTAGTTCTGCTGACTTGCTGAGGCAAGAGAAGCTTATTAGCTCCACTGGGATATGAGGGAGATGGAGTGACAAAGAGAGCTAGGGTTTGGGACAGAGAGGTCCCTTGAGGGAAAACCTAAGAACAGTCAAGTGTTGGGAGAAAGTTTAGGCTGAGCTTTATGTTGTATCACTGCAATTTCAACTAGCAGAAAAAGGGTAAGTTTGGACTATGTACTGACTGTGCATATTCAGTTCAGTTCAGGGTGGGACCTGAGTTTAGGGTCTGAAATGTTCCCCTGTCCCTCACTCTGCTCTGCAGCCTGGCTCACAGAAATCCATTAGGAAAACTATCCCCTGGCTCTCTTGGCCCCCTCTTTCCCCTCTCTTGTCCCATAGGTCGAGGGATAAATTGCTGCTGGGGATAATTAAAGCTGGAATTTCCCAGAGAACCAATCAAAACATGGGGGGAGGGGAGGGGAGAGAGAGAGAGAGAGAGAGAGAGAGAGAGAGAGAGAGAGAGAGAGAAACACCTTTACAAGGGAGGTTGAAATTGCTGGCACTTCTTACAGTGAAACTTTATTTGTAGGTGGTATTTCAGACCTGACCTGAGCTCAGCTTGTCAGTTGGTCCCCAGAGATAACCCCTTCTCTCCCCATGAGCTGGGCTCTCTCACTGGCCAACTAATCTGGCATCAGAAAGAACATTTTGCTAGCAGTTGAAAGCCTGGGTTAAGGAGCTGAGCTGAGCTGGGAATGGTACAACCTCTATGCAGGAAGAGCCTGGCAGCCATCTCGGAGCATTCCCCAAACACAGGTATCCAAAACTCTCCATGAGTGCTCAGTGTGCTGGGGGAAGGGGTGCAGGGTCCTCTGCTCTCTCAAGACTCTCCACACACGAGCACTAGGATCTCTCTGTGCAGAGATTAGCAGTGTATTTCCCCGTTGGCAATAGTCTCAAAATCTTTCCTAGCACTCTGCACACATGGGCACCAATATTCATAAGCACAGCCTTCTTACAGTCACTTAAAGGTATTCTGGCTGCGTGGACACCAGTGTCTCAGCAGGCAACAGTCAGTGACACAACCTCCACTGCCTTCAGTCACCTTGGGGTGCTCTGAAGACATTGGTACCAAGGCTTCACTGTGCAATGGCCAGTGGGACAGTCCATATTAGGTTGGGTCAGACTGTATAGAAGAAGGCAAAACTCTAAGGTCATCAGGACTGGAGAGAGAGGGAACCATGTCCCTGCAGATTTGGGGCTTGAGTCTCTTCTCCTACTGCTCCTGTGACTCCACTGACTGCAATAGCTTTGCTCCAGATTTACATCAGGGTAAGTGACAAGAGACTCATGCTCCTGGAGTTCATGACCAAGGGGAAACTTGGCCCTGAGACCAAGTAGGTTGGAGTGGAGGGGGAGATAGGTCCCTGCAACTGTGGAAGAGAGGGAGACAGAACTGTGGAGGCTGGGGTAGGCAGATGTGCACTGGGAAGTAGGGTGGGGAGCGACTGTGATGAGGGATAGCAGGAGTTCCATCTCCAGAGGACACTCTAGTATTTGGTCTAAAGGATGGCAGCCCCAAAGCTCTAACCCACCGTTCTATTCTCCCATGGCAGGTGTCAAGGTAAAAAGAGAAACAGCCAATGCCTTTGTGAGGAGGCAGAAGAGGTCCTACCCCTATTATGAAAGGTAAAATCTTCCCTGCCTCACCAGCTGGGTTCAGGACTGAACTGTGTATGGATTATTTCAGAGAGAGATAGGAAGGCAGTGGGATCTGGCAAGGAATTTGATTCATGTCTGGCATAACATCCTCACACGCAGAAGCAGAAAAAAAGGATGCCGGAGACACTTACTGGAAACAAGTGGCCCATTCTTCCTTAAAGGGCCATAAATATCCCCTGAGGAGTCTCTGACAGACATAGAGTGACCATAGTCAGCTTTACATCACCTCCGGTAAGAGCCCCCAGCACAGGGGCATGCCAGATGTGTTGCTTGGAGTATTTCAGGAAGGGGTGTACTTGGCTAGCATTCCTAGGCTGCTGGTAATTCTGGCTAATTGAACTGCCCTTAGGGGCCAGGGAGAGTGGGGTGCAAGTTAGAGGCTGCTCTAGCCTGCATCAGAGACCAAAGCAACCCGCTGCACAGGGCGCACTGAGGAGGTTTCATCTTTGCCTTCAGTTCCTGCTCTGAGCTCAGCTCTGCTGCAGGGATGAGGTCAGATCAGACTGGCTTTTCATTCTGACTAGGCCCAGATACTATAGCAAGCAGACCTTTTTTTACAGCACTCCTGGAGACAGGGACTCAGAGAACTTTGGCTGACAGATTGACACAAGAACATGCTTCACATACGTCCTGGCAGAGGTCACCAAGCTACATCTCACAGAGGCCCTGAGGGATAAGACATTTCTAGTTGAGCATCGTTGGATGGTAGTTAAAGGCTTGGGTTTAATCCCCAGTTAGTAAAGCTTCTGAAAGGATAACTAAGGTTCCTGGGGTAAAGTCCCAGCTGGTAGACCCGACCCACTCCCCTGGAACAATAACCAGGGAGTCTGGGTTCTATCTTTAGCTGTTAGAGCCTTGTGGACAAGATGGGGAATTGGCTTCAATCCCCAACTGATAGAGCTCCCTCCCATGCCTGGACATTAATCAAAGGGACTAGGTTCTAACCCTTTGTAGGTAAATATCATATTCACTATGAGGGAGTCCATCTCTAGGGAATGCTGGGTAATCATTCTCCCTGAGTTCAGCAGGTGGCATAGGAGTCTGATGAGTCATGAGTGGCATCTTTCTCTTTGTCTACTGCAGGTACTATGAATTGTACAAATCCCCAATGGAGCTGAGGAAGGAACAGTGTGAAAACTATGCCCCCTGTGACTACCTGTCCGAACACGTGGGATTTCATGCTGCATATCAGCGTTACTTTGGGAGATTCTGAAGAAGAGACTGTCCCTTCCCTCACCTGGCTAGGGTTCAGTCTGACCTCCATAAAGACTGGGGTAGTGGGAGGAAGGGAAGGAAGGAAAAGGGAGAGGTAGATTGGGCCCACTTCAATTCTGCTCAGCACTGATGAGAGCACAATGGCAAAAGTTACCCCATATATCCATTTTCCAGTCTGAGACTGCTGAATACTAGTTGTGATCCTTCTACCAAAGGCATTCCCCTCTGTGGCCTCCCATGGTATTTTGAGCTTCTTCAGAGAAAGGAAGGTGAGGAGAATCCATCTTATCTGCTTCCCACAGAAGTTCCAGAGCAAGTTTAGAAAGAGGAGATTCTTCTGAAGAAACTCAAAATATGACAAAGGGTGGCAGCAAGATCTTTTGTGCTCCCTCCCCTGCCAAAAAAATACAAGATGAGGGGTGAATAATATGAGCAATACAACAGTGTGTGTGGGTGTGCTGTGGAGAGCAGCGATCCTTATGCACTCACTGGAAAGGGAAGGGTCCTGATGCTTCCTGTTGTGATGGGGAAAGTTCAGCAGTTTGCCACCATCAGGTTCCAAAACGGGATGATCAGCCCAAGTGTATGTTTGTGACAACACATGAACCACTAAAGGTTTGGTAAAAAGAAAAGGAGGACTTCTGGCACCTTAGAGACTAACAAATTTATTTGAGCATAAGCTTTCGTGAGCTACAGCTCACTTCATTGGATGCAGTCAATGGAAAATACAGTGGGGAGATTTATAAAGGTTTGGTGGTTCCATTCAACTAAGCACCTTGATTTTATATACTTCACTGAGCTTCTTGGACCTGCAAAATTGGGGTGGAAATCTCTGCTACTTCTGGTACACCCTGTTTCTGGTCAGGCTGAAAATACCCAAACAAAAAGCTGTTCCTCAGAATTAGTTGGGCACTTATGTTTCTGGTCCTGGCTGAAACAACAACAAACAACAAATATACACAGGCAGCTGTAAAAATAAAACAAAAAGTTAATTGAATTTTTATGAATCTTCAACAAAAAAAGGGGTCAGTTCAGGGTTGGGTTGGGTTGGGTCAGTGCCAGGTTTATCCCAATTGGTTTGCCGATCCCCAATATGTATCTTTCCTCTTTGCAAATTCATGCAGGTATCTTTTTATGAGTGTTATGCCTAAGCAACTTTCTGAAATTTCACCTGTACCATCATATATTCTGTTCTGTAAGGGAGATGTCAGGTTCTCCAGAGGGGCAGGTGTCTGCTTAGCAGCAAAATTCAGATGGTGGCTGGTGAAATCATCCCCAGCTGTTGGCTATAATAAACGCTGGTTAAGTAAAGCAGGTTTGTGTTTTGCTTCTCTCTGTTCATGTGTCCAGCATCCAGTGGGGAGTGAGAGGTGGTGAGATTCAACTGGGGTGGAAGAGAGGTCTGGAAGATAAAGCTTTCTCTCTGTAGCAAAGATGGGTACTGAACAGGAAACAACAACATTGGCCTGATTCTCCTCTCACTTATCCCAGTGTTAATCAGGAGTAATTACATTGAAATCAATGAAGTGATACCTGCATAAGACTGTGTCAGGGAAAGGTGGATCCTACTTTACCATTAGTTGAATTCTTCCTTCCCCTGGAGAGACCTTCTTCATACTGGGATAAGAGGTGAACCCAGTCCCCATGTTCATGTAGAAATAGACTTAGTTCCCACTGACTCTAATGGGAATCCCAACTCTCCCCTGGAGGAACGTACTCTTTTGGAAAGAGAAATAAACGTTTTTCCTTCTCTGAGAGTCTCACTCCAACTGTAAAGAGAAAGAGATGTGGGTCTGAATGAAATACCTGCCCCTCTTGGCTATGCAGTTGAGAGAAGGGCTACAGGAATGTCTAGCCCCAGATAGGTACCTTGTATTGTACCATGTGGGTGAAAAGGTACTAGGTCTTTCAGTCTGCACAGCGTAGGTATATATCTGAGCCGGGTGACTGGAGCTCCTTCAAAGACACAGGCCAATTGTTCCCTCTATAAGTGGAACCCCACCTCACTTGGGGACAGCGTGTGTTTGTGGGATACACCTGTAACAAACTGAAATAACGATGTACTGCTGATATGGGCATCCTAGCAAGCTCATAGAGATAGTGTGAACCTTATGGAGCGTGTATGGTTTGGGATGGGCTTTGTTTAGGGCAGGCATGCATCGCTGAGTGTGGAGGGTAAAGTATACACAGAGGGGTCTCACAGTGGCACAAGCTGCTTATAGTTTTGCAGCCCTCTCTCATCATTACATATCCTCTGCTGCCACCTAACGGACATTTCATTTCACTCAGTGAAAGAGCATGTGGCACCACTAAAGCATTTTACATTTTCAGAGCTCTCCATGAACCCTGCACTCCAAATGCAGGCTAATCTCCCATTATCGTCTTGCTAAAATATACATAGAAGCAAAGGCCTAAGGGTTCAGTGGGAAGGGATAAATGGCAAGTGGGCATGATATGCACAGTCAGATTTGTGAACTGACGCCAACTCTGAAATTCCAACCTAGATACATGTGGGATTTATCTCCTGATTAGTTAAACAGTGTCTGCACTAGGCATAAGATGACTAAGCAATTGCTTAGGGCCCCGAGCAGCTTGGGGGGGGGTGACGGGGGGCTCTTCGCTTTTTTAGTATGTGTTGTGTGTAGGAGGGGGAAAAAATATTCCTGCTTAGAGCCTCCAAATGGGGTAGCTCTGCCAAAATTCAAATACCCGATAACAGTGGTTCTCAACCATTTTTATACCAGGACTCTTTTCAGTCTAGCTGGGATATAGTCAGGATTGGTTAGTCTAATCTAATTAGCAATTTGGGAAGGGCCAGGGCCTTGACATATGCTTGTGATCCTTCCAAAGGGGACATGATCCGAAGGCTGAGACCTCATGCTTTAAAAAATAAGGACAGAGATGACTGGACAGTTCAAAGAATTAGAAGGAGGTTGGCTGCCTTTATTACCTTGTCCTCTGAGGCACAACGTGACATCAGCACAAGGGTGCAAATGCCTTTACATCACTGACATGTCATGACCCAGTGTTATAACATTCGGAGGCAGTGTCATGATATAAGGATATCATGCCAACCCCTGATTATATTTCAGCACCAATGATGCCTATGTCATCTATGTGGTGGCACAGGGACCACTGTTCCCTCTAAGCTGTGTGCGTCTGCGCACGCACACAGATTCTAAACCCTGCGCACACGGCGAAACACCGCACGCACAACAATTTGCACAGAAGACATTTTTTGCGCACACGGCCTGTCAAAAATTAGAGGGAACATTGACAGGGACCTGTTTCTTTCAGATGAACCAAGCCACAAACACCCCTGTGTACCTGACCTGCTAGTCAGAGCATCATCCTTGACTTTCCATCCATAAATCCCATCTGACCCCAGTGCTAGCAAACTGTGCTAGTGATTGAATCTCCTGTCTCCCTTCCCCTGCAACACATAGAGAGAACTGTTCTTTGGCTCTTGTTCTATGTAGAGCAATCATCATAGCCCACAGAGCATGGTAAGTGAATGGGAGGGCTCATCACAGCCTAATGGATGGGCGGTCACAAAGAGGTGGGAAGCTGCTGTTGCGGGAGGATTAGTGTAGATTGCTGAATGGGGCCCAGCATATGCAACTTTTATAGAATCATAGAATCACAGACTTTAAGGTCAGAAGGGAAAATTCCTTCCCGACCCCAAATATGGCGATCGGCTAAACCCTAGCATGTGGACAAGACTCACCAGCCAGACACCCAGGAAAGAATTCTTTGTGGTAACTCAGATCCCACCCCATCTAACATCCCATCACAGGCCATTGGGCATATCTACGGATAATAGTTGAAGAGCAATTAATTGCCAAAATTAGGCTATCCCATCATACCATCCCTTCCATAAACTTATCAAGCTTAGTCTTGAAGCCAGATATATTTTTTGCCCACACTGCTTCCCTTGGAAGGCTGTTCCAGAACTTCACTCCTCTGACGGTTAGAAACCTTGGTCTAATTTCAAGTCTAAACTTCCTGATGGCCAGTTTATATCCATTTGCTCTTGTGTCCACATTGGTACTGAGCTTGAATATCAAAGGGCCCGCAAAAACTTTGGGCCATCCCTGTTCAGGTCTGTTTCTGTGTTGTGCAAGCTGCTTCTTACAGGGTATGGGGCAGCTTCTCCCCCCCAAACCAGGACTGCTCCTCAAAATGAGCTCATGTGGAAGCCCTAAATTGGAATGGGACATACAGCCTCTCGCAACGCACTAGTTGGAATCCAGCCAGTCAGCAGGGACTGAAAGTTGCTACCTTCTGTCCCTGTTCTGTGATGTGTAAAACTAGCTAGTGGGTCTCAGTGTAGTGCATTTATGGGACAAATGCCCACATCACCTGCAACTTTGGCCACTGTTTGGCTCCTTTGTTGGCAGTCTCATCCAGGGAGGCCAAGAACAGCAGTCTTTCATTTGGTGAGGAGCAGCTGGCAAGCAGAGCTTGGTTGCATGGCTGAGTCAGGCACCTTTCACAAGCAATATATTCATTTAAAAATATATGAAAAAGGATTAGAATGGGATGGGCAGCAGTGTGGTTTGAGAGGCTAGGACAGGGTAGGGCAAGAAGGGAATATGCAGCTGTGTTATCTGTCGTGCCAGATGGGTTCTGAACCAGAGAGGCATCTCAGTTCTGCCTTTATCAGAACCCTGCATTCCTTTAATGTTGTTCATTAAACTTTTGGCTGGAGATAGTTTATTTCACTCAACCTCATCTTGTCATGTAAATGCACAGAAGAGAGCTGTCTTGGGTGCCTCATAGGTCTGAGTCTTCTCTCTCTTGGGACTATTAACGGGATTTGAACAGGGCTTGGCATAAGGAACCTTCATGAGCCAGAAGGAAAAGAGAAAAGACCATAGGAAATCTCAACATTACGTCAACTGATAAAGACCAGGTGAATGCATAGCGATTGAGACTGGAGTAGAGGAGAAACTGTCATTTAAAAGACCTAGACCATTTCTTTTGGATATCATTTTTACAAAATTTATTTTAAATTTGGAGCTATTACTTCCGATATGTTCTCGCCTTGGTTCTAAATTACTGTCCTCCAAACTGCCGCCTGTGTCCGATGAGTGATCCCAGCTCTGGGAAAGGAAAAGAAAGAATATTGACTCATATCTGAGTGTAAATTTCACACTGCAGATTTGTTGGAATTCAATTTATGACATTAAAAGAGAAAAGAGCAAAACATCCATAAGAAAGAGAGGGCAGCCCCCTCTTCTGGCTCTGTGGGAGTTCAACATCCTGTAGAAGATCTCCTGTGGACTCTGGGATGACAGCTGATCTACTGAGCTTCCTGCTGTTGCTGATCTTCTCCCTGCTGAGGCTGACGAGAGGTGAAAAGGTTGTACTTTATTTGAAGCTGTGAAGTTGCTCAGAGAGTGGCTGCTCCAAAGCCCATTGTGGATGATGGCTGTATTTCCATTCTCTTCAGTGGGCTTTGAATCAAGCTTAGCATGAGAACTACTTTGCTTTCACTTGCTGTGTACCATTTCTCACCTTCTCTAACCCTTCTGATTGCATTGTTAGAAATGCCCTCCGTTTTCAAGTCACGTTTTCCCAGGGAATGTTTGTGGTTGAACATCAAGGAAATGGCCAATCAGTACAATCTTTCTTAGATGGTACAGAGATGTTCTTGGTAATTTCTCCATCCCATGTGACTGCGTTTGGGATTCTCCCAAAAAATATTTAAGATACTCTGGGTAGAGAAGTTGTGTCCCAAAACAGTGAGGTCCATGCTGTTAATTCCACTGGCCCAGTCACTGCATTCACTTAGGGGCCCTTTTCCAAGTGAGGGGTGAGGATGAATGTTCATGGTGAACTGAGTGTCTACTTGTAGTCAGCCAAATATCAAATAACTGGATATGATGTTTAGCCAAAGCCCACTTAAAAACCCAACAGTGAAAAGAGCAATCAATTATATTATCACATGCATTATATTGATGTATGATTACAGAAGGTTTTCAGGGATAAGAACCACTATCAACAGTTAATCAGCTTTCAGAGTAACAGCTGTGTTAGTCTGTATTCACAAAAAGAACAGGAGGACTTGTGGCACCTTAGAGACTAACCAATTTATTTGAGCATAAGCTTTCGTGAGCTACAGCTCCGATGCATCCGATGAAGTGAGCTGTAGCTCATGAAAGCTTATGCTCAAATAAATTGGTTAGTCTCTAAGGTGCCACAAGTACTCCTTTTCTTTTAGTTAATCAGCTGTACAACCACACAAACAGAATACACTAGATATTATTTTCTGTTATAGGGCCCAGTTATAATGTATATAGTATATTGTATATCGTAGCGCCTAGGAGCCCCAGCCACAGACTAAGACCCCATTGTGCTAGGCGCTGTATAAACACAGAACAAAAAGGCAGTCCCTGCCTTAAAGAGTTTACAATCTAAGACAAGAGATAACAGATAGATACAGACCGGGAATAAATGGAAACAATGACACAATATTGCTGAACCATTGTACACAATCTGTACGAGCGGGGGAACGGAGGAGAGGCAAACAGAGGGAGTTTGCCTGGGGGCAGTTCCCACAGAGGTTTTTGCCTTTCAAGCTTCTGTGATCAGTAAATACAACATCTGAAGAGGCTCTTAGAAGGAAGACAATATGGATAGTGAGTGATCAGCTGTTGTGATCTGCTAAGGATGTGCCATGTTTGTCTTTCTCCCAGAGGATAGAAGCAACTTTTTCTGTATGAAGTGCAAGCTGATCTCCACATTAGAAGAGAAGGTTAAAGGACTAGAGACCCCAGTATCTAGAGGCAGATATGCTGGAGGGTAGGGATAGGGTTCAGGGTGGCCTAGACAAATTGGAGGATTGGGCCAGAAGAAATCTGATGAAGTTCAACAAGGACAAGTGCAGAGTCCTGCACTGAGGATGGAAGAATCCCATGCACCGTTACAGGCTGGACACTGACTAGCTAAGCAGCAGTTCTGCAGAAAAGGACCTGGGGATTACCGTGGACGAGAAGCTGGCTATGAGTCAGCAGTGCGCCCTTGTTGCCAAGAAGCCCTAATGGCATATTGGGCTGCATTAGTAGGAGCACTGCCAGCAGATTGAGGGAAGCAATTATTCCCCTCTATTTGGCATTGGTGAACCTGCATCTGGAGTATTGTGTCCAGTTTTGGGCCCCACTACAGAAAGGATGTGGACAAATTGGAGAGAGTCTGGCGGAGGGCAATGGAAATTATCAGGGGGCTGGTTCACATGACTTATGAGGAGAGTCTGAGGGAACTGGGTTTATTTAGTCTGAGGAAGAGAAAAGTGAGGGGGGATTTGATAGCAGCCTTCAACTCCCTGAAGGGGGGTTCCAAAGAGGATGGAGACAGGCTGTTCTCAGTGGTGGCAGATGACAGAACAAGGAGCAATGGTCTCAAGTTGCAGTGGGGGAGGTCTAGGTTGGATCAGGGCATCCCAAGCTATTCTAGGGCCCTATGCAGCCCCCCCTGCTGGGGGGGGAGGCCTCCGTGGGGGGGGGTGGCTGGCCCCAGGCTGCCCCGGGGGGAGGGGCTGGCTTGGGGAACAGGGGGGAACCACCCCCCAGCACTCACCGGCGGCGTGGCTGGGGCTAGACCGCTGCACTTCCTGCTGCCGGTAAGTGCAGGCCCAGCCCTACTGCACTCCTCAGGGGAGTGGGGGTGGGGCTGGGGCCAAACCGGGTGGGAAGGGGCGGGGCGGGGGTGGGAAGAGTCGGGGCAGGACGGAGCAGGGATGGGGGCTTTGGGTCAGGGGTGGAGTGGGGACAGGACTGGGGTGGAGCAGGGGTGGGAAAAGGTGGAGCAGGGGCTGGAGCAGCGTGCAGTTGCACAGCGTACCTGGAAATGTGGTGCCCCAAATCTCCTGGTGCCCTACGCAGCTGTGTACTTTGCATATGGATAAGGACAGCTCTGGGTTGGATATTAGGAAAAACTTTTTCGCTAGGAGGGTGGTGAAGCACTGGAATGCGTTACCTAGGGAGGTGGTGGAATCTCCATCCTTAAAGGTTTTTAAGGCCTAGCTTGACAAAGCCCTGGCTGGGATGATTCAGTTGGTGTTGGTCCTGCTTTGAGCAGGGGGTTGGACTAGATGACCTCCTGAGGTCTCTTACAACTCTACGATTCTATGATTCTAATATTGATCAGCATGATAGGCAGTGATCTCAGCACACCAACAACCTAATCATTGTCAAGTGTTAGCTTGCATGATTAGTCCAACCAGCTCCATTAGGATGAATAATATGAGTACAGACTGTTCATGTGGTTTAGGATTTGTAAGATGTGGAAGATATTTTGTTAATAATTTGCTATGGGACTGTTTTTATCCCACATTATGTAAAAAGCCCTGCAGATAGAACATCTACTTTGATGTAACAGGGCTAGAGCTGGCTGAAAAATTGATTTTCATGCTATGAAAAATCATGAAATTTTGATATTTGTTTTGTCCTGAGCCAGGACAAAAAGCCAAAATTTCAACATTTTTCACATCATGAAATTCCAGAACAAAAATACCTCTTTGTTTTGGTTCAATCAAAGCATTTTGTTTCAATTTCAACGCTTTTTAAAATTTAAAATACAAAATAAAGTAAATTTTGACATGAAAAATAAAAAGTTACCATTCTGAAAATGTCAAAATGTTCCATTTTGACATTTTCAAAACATTTTTTCTAATTTTTTCACTCAACAAAATGTCATTGAAATCAATATGATTTTGTGAACAATTTCAGTTTTGGTGAAAGGGCATTCTCCAACAGACAACTGTTTTGACAAAAAAAAAAAAAAATTGCAGCTAGCTCCAAGCAGGGCATCAGGAATAAATTCACCTCTCTAGTGCACTCCCACAGCATTGCACAATTAACATATTGCATTACAGGTTCCTACACTTGCCACTGAAGCACTTGCCAGGCAGAGTTAGGCTACCGGTGGTCCACCCGACTACCTTCATCCACCTACCTACCTTTCTCATTAAAAGGGAGTGGAGACACTGGAGATATAGTTACTTTTGTTCATTAAGGGGGCTTCTTCCACTTGTCAGAGCTGAGATAAATTGCTGCACCTGGGTCTTTGTGCAATTGAACTGGCAACATGCAGAAAGCCTCATGAGTAATGTCCTCACTGCACCCAATGCAGGGAACACAATGTGAAAGGCAACCTCAGAGCCATAGCTCTGAGCTGAGTAGCCCCTCACCGCAAGTTTCTGAGTCTGTCTAGAACCTAAGTGAGTATTCTACCACCTCCTAGACCCCAAATCTATCTGAGACCAAGTGAATGTTCCTTTCTTCAGCCCTGTCACTGTGTCCTAACCTCATATCCTCTGGCTATTGCATGCATTCCCAGCCTACCTATGAACACTCCTTAGGCCTCCAATATTGAGCTTCATGAAGTGAAACAATGGTAGTATCCTGGTCAATATTCTCTCACAGGGAAACTGGTACAAAAATGAGCAAGGTTGCATATGTGCTGTTGACAAGCTCAAAATGACAAGCTGTTGACAAGCTCACTGTGCTGTGAGCTTCTAATGCACCACCGTGCACTCTGGGATCTCTGTAGCAGGACAAAAATAGTAGAGACAATCTGATTTATTGACATACATATACACACAAACTAACAGGGTCCCATTCTTGAGGATAAACATGTATTACCTTTATGTTGCAGGCCGTGTCCCACATTCTTATGGATATGGCACCAGATTCCTTTGATGACCAGTACCAGGGTTGCTGTGAGCAGGTAATGGAAGAACTGGACCGAGGAGACTATTTCCAAAAGGAATTGGGTAATAATAAGAACTATTCCAGCATCTGGGAGAAAGCAAAGCTGGTCTGGTCAAAAAAGCCAATGGCTCTGCTGAGGGAGATGCAGGAGAATCACGCCGTAGCCCTCATGGCTTACACCATGAACACCTCACTGCACTCTGATTTGAACTGGGCTGTCTCCAGAGCTGGGAGATCCCCAGAGCACTACAGAAACAGCTTCCCTTTCAAATACCTCCACTTCTACCTGACTACAGCCATTCAATTGGTGAGGAGATGGAAGAGTGGCATCACAAGAAAAAAGTGCTACCAGGTGCACCGGGGGGTAAAAGGCCTGTATTTTGAGGCTGAGTTGGGCACCAAAGTGCGGTTTGGCCGCTTCACCTCTACTTCACTCCTCCGGAAGGAAGCACAGAGATTTGGGAATGAAACAATATTCACCATGAAGACTTGCTTAGGGGCAGTTGTGGAACACTTCTCCCACTACTTCTATGAGAGGGAGGTCCTCATCCCACCCTATGAGATATTCCAGGTCAGAAACTTCAGCCGAACACCAAGTGGTAACCACCTCTATCTGTTCTCTGTGGGAAATTACAGCCAATACAACTGCCAGCTCCTGAAAGGTACTGTATGTAGAAACTCTCATAATGGAGACCCAGGGTGGTCTTGACAGGCACCTCTGACAGCTCACCCTGCTGCACCACATCTCATGTTTCAGGCCTAATGTCTTCCCTGGGGCAGAGGAAGCCAGGAGTGTCTTATGATTGAGTGTGCACTGTCATGTGTTTTCTGGCTGCTATGAAAGGTGGTGTTGGTGGAGGGATGAAAGTGGACATTTTGTAGTGTATAGGTTAAAGTTCTAACAGAGACTGCTTGCTAAGGAACCTGAGTCTAACCAGGTGCCCTTCCTTCCACGCTTCCATTACTCCCACCTACATTCCCTTGGCAAAATCCCAGCATGATGCTGGAAATAGCTGCCAGAACTGCAGAGCCATCTACAACTGGGGTCCCAATGTTGCTAACAGTGGTGAAGATTAAACAGAGTTAGCAACAGTCAGAGGTTTTGGAGGGGTTATAAGAATTACAGTCTGGATGACATTTAATTGACAAACAGCTGGAAAACTTGCATGTGGATCGGAAGTCCTGGCTGGAGCAGGCTGTGGTTCCTTACCTTATTGGAGAGTGATGTGCAACGTACTTATTCAGTGGGCTCTTAGTTTTCGTCCCAGGACAATAATGGTCAATGCAACCTTTGAGCACAGAACACCATTCAGAAAATGAAAGCAACTGCCTAGTACTAAGACAAAATAGTAGGTAGACTTGAAGCACAGACTGCTTCTGTTCATGAAGTTGACAGCACAGCAGCAAGTTGCTGCTCCAGTGCAGATCTCAGTCAATAAGAAGGGTCATAAACATTCCTTGCTAAGTCCTTTCAGGACTGTGGTAGGGCAGACACCAAAAAAGGCAGCAATCTGCAGAGAGAGTGGCCTTTTCATAGTTCAAGTTGCAACCAGCTTCCATTATATATATATACTGGGCACAGTGTGTATGTTGCCTTCTGTAATTGGCATGTAAAACCAGTCTTTGTTTAGCTGCAATGATACAGGCCTGTGTTTTTGGAGGTATAGGACCAGAATTTTAGTCCCAGCTCAGCAGGCGCATGTAGTGCAGAATGGCGAGGCGAAGGTTTCTCAGTAGTTAAAGTTGCATTCACAATGCCATTGTAAGTCTGATTTTGATTCCTATTGAAACGCCAACAAAACCAAAAATCTGTCACATTTTTAGGGCTAAATCTTATTGTCAATTAGAGTGTATTCTGGAAATGCTGATTGAGTAAGTGGGTTTTGAGATTTTTTACTTTAATATGGTTCTGTAACAAGGTGGCAGATTTTTATTAACTGTGTTAGAATTCTGCATAAATCCGACGAGTAAATTCTACTTACTCATTGTGGCAGGTGAGGTTTAACTCCACCAGGATACAAAGGAGGTGAAGAGATTCTCTGGACAGAATTAGAGTCTTGGACAGAGAGGTCTCTGCAGGGAAACTTTAGAAACAGCCAAGACTGAGCTGAGATTTATGTTGTGCTATTATTCCAATTACCAATACAGTCAAACTTGAGGAAGGAATAAGTTTGGACTATTATGTTATGAATTCTGGGCAAATATTTGGTTTTGTTGTTGTTTGGTTTTTATAATCTGAACCTGTTCAGCAGAATGAGTGTGTTTATTCATTTAAAATATTTTATGAGGAAATACCAGTTCTAGGAAGGAGCTAAGTTAAGATGTGCATTGAAGCTCTAGGCTGAATTTCTAAAGAACAAATCTTTTGATTCTTTTGCAGCTTCAAGCAGCAAGAGCTGTATCCACACTCCTCCAGTCACTGCCTTTCTTTCTTGTGTGATCAGTGCTTTCTTCTACTCCACCAGACAGTGACTCTTTCCCTGATCACAGAAGGATTCATGTGCTGTGTAAAAAGGAATGAGTTATGGGTGCGAGGGATTTACAGTAACCAGCCACAGAGGTGACTGATGCTACAAGGTGCTGAACACCTCCTGCAATTTTCCCTCTAACTCCCCTGACTTCAATGAGTTAAGGGTGCTCAGAATTTCAAAGGAGGCGTTTAATCCCTAGCAAAATCAGGCTCCTAGGTGTACATTCAAAGTAGGGGTGTAAATAGGGTTTAAAAATAGTAACCTTTTAACCTATTAAAATTCTATTGGTTAAATGGTTAACTGTTAAGGAGTTCACATAGGGAACTAGAGGTAGGGTGGGGGGGGTGCTGCAGCACCCCCACGTTTTATGCGGGGCTTCGCTGCCGCCTGCACCCAGGATCCCGGCTGTCGGCCTGGGCGTGGGGCTCTGCTGCCTCCCTGGGCCCGGCATCCCGCATGCCAGCCCCGGGATTGGCATTCTGCCTGCTGCTGGCCCCGTGCCTGGCACTCCACTGCCACCGGTCCTGGGACCGGGACTTAGCTGCCTCCCTGGGGTCCCGACTGCCAGCCCTGTGCCTCTGCTGCCTCCCCACTCCCAGGGTCCCAGCTTTTGCCTCGCACCTGGGATCGACCCTGTGTGCATGGCTGGGAGCCGGGACCCCTGGCTTTGAGGGCAGAGGAGTTTAATCATTAACTGAAACCGATAAGACTGTACTTATTGGTTAACTGGTTAACCAGTTAAACTTTTACATCCCTCATTCAAAGTAGGAAGATAATAGGTCTGTGTGCATGCTGAAGAGCATGGCAAAGACTCCAGTCAATTTAGGTACCTAGTCTGAAGGGCTTTGGGTACAACCATACAGTAGGAACTCTTGAACCACTATTTGTATTCAGAGTAGCAGCCATGTTAGTCTATATTCGCAAAAAGAAAAGGAGGACTTGTGGCACTTTAGAGACTAACCAATTTATTTGAGCATAAGCTTTCGTGAGCTACAGCTCACTTCATCAGTAGCTCATGAAAGCTTATGCTCAAATAAATTTGTTAGTTGTTAAGGTGCCACAAGTCCTCCTTTTCTTTTCACTATTTGTATTAGCATTTCTTTTGCAGGTCTCAGTAGGTTCTCTTGAGTTAGTAGTAATACCACCCTCTGGTGGCCATTAAGAAAATACCTGCAAATTCCCGCAAAGGGAATTTACAGAAATTGTAGAGACTATTGGGTTGTGTCCATTTTAAAGAGAGGTTGATGTTATTAAATACATATATATATTTCTATTGCTCTGTTTTTCAATGTGTAATATCAGTGATAGAATTCACATCCCATACTGAATTCTCCTTCCCAGTTTAACTATGTTCTTTCCTAACTTTTAAAGATTAATTAGCATTCCTGCAAGGCACCAAGGCAGTAATCCTGAAATCCTCTAATCCCACAATAGCTATAGCATGTTAATGCAAATTTCCCTCTCATACTGCCTCCCTCCAATATGGCTGGAGGGACCACATCTTGGAGATGAAATTGTTTTTTAGCCTCTGTCCCATTTTGTCCTTGGACTGAGCTGAGACTACCAACCAGATGATAAATTGTGATAATTTAGTTGTGTAATGTAGACATCCGACCACCAAGTACTGAATTGAGATTCACTAGCACATTCTATATAGGCTACAAATAGCCATCAAGTGGCAACAATTTTCAGCCAGTAACTATCAACCTGAGCTGGCATGGAACTGGTGATCAAAAGGCAAGAAGTTCCATATTCTATGCACCATCCCCCTGACCTATGCACTATGCACAGAGCTAGTTGTCTATATTATAGACTTGAACTTAAAAGGGCCTAGCCCTTTGGCTCCCCACAAACTGCTGATTGATGAACAGCTGAATATAAAGAAGAAGTTGAGGAGAAAAGCTTTCTGCAATCTGTGGATGAACAGCACTATACAAGAACTAAATTCTATTTTTTATTCTCTTTGAAGTCAAGTGGCTGGCAGGTGCCCTTCTCCAGCGCACACCACTATGCCCATGTCCAGTCTAGTCATTTTGCTCCTTCTATAGCCCAACACATTGGGTCTTTCAGCAGTTCAGCAAGTAAATCCTCCCTCAACCTACCTCACTCTATCTCCTGTTCAACTGAGCCAATAATTAGTTTTGTTCCTAAACTATGCAGTCAAATCCCTCCTCCAATCCACCCTGCAGTGTCCTTTCCTATCACAGATCTTCCCCAGCACCGCAGCTGGGATTCTCCCCAAACTGTCTAGGTGATTCACTTCTGTTTCAGCTCACTTGCTACACCCTTCCTCCATTTTAACAGCTGTGCATCACCTTTTCTCTGCCTTTAAATTTTCCTTGTGCATCTCAGGTGATGTATTCTTCCACTAACCTGTTCAATATGCCTTTCCTCCAGCCCATCAGCTGTGCCCCTTCTTTAGCTCACCCTGTTGAATCCTTCCCCTAAATCACCTCGCCAGGTTCTTCCTTCAGTTTGCTCAATGAACTCCTCATCAGGTCTGCTTTGCTAGACTCTTTCTAAACCTGGCCACCATGTTATTCCTCCAGACCAGGCATTACACACTTCAAAGGCAGCAAAGTCTCTTTTAGGTTTTATTTTGACTTCAGAAGAGAGTTACAGAAAACAAATTAGTTTCTGAGGTCATACGTAGGCATGAAATATGGAAAAGCTTCCACAAATCCCTTCCATCAATTATGTTTCTCTGGTTTACTTGCCCCATCACAAAGGTTTCGTCCCCATAATAACACTTGCACTTATACAGCATCTTCCATCCAAGAATCTCAGAGTGGTAAACATTCATTCATGAATGTAGCCTCACAATGCTCCTTTATGGTAGGGAGAGAATATGCCAATTTCACAGAGAACCTGAAGCAAAAAGAGATTAAATGAATTGCCCAAAAGTTGCACACAAAGCCTGTGGCAGACTCTAAGGCCTGGTCTACACTACGAGTTTATGTCGGATTTAGCAGCGTTAAATCCGAATTAACCCTGCACCTGTCCACACAACGAAGCCATTTTTTCGACATAAAGGGCTCTTAAAATCTATTTCTATACTCCTCCCCTACGAGGGGATTAGCGTTGAAATCAACATCGCCTTTTTGAATTTGAATTAGGGTTAGTGTGGATGCAATTCGAAGGTATTGGCCTCCGGAAGCTATCCCACAGTGCACCATTGTGACCGCTCTGGACAGCACTCTGAACTCGGATGCACTGGCCAGGTGTACAGGAAAAGCCCAGGGAACTTTCGAATCTCATTTCCTGTTTGGCCAGGTGAGCTCATCAGCACAGGAGACCATGCAGTCTCAGAATCGAAAAAGAGCTCCAGCATGGACCGAACGGGAGGTACTGGATCTGATCACTGTATGGGGAGAGGAATCAGTGCTATCAGAACTACGCTGCAAAAGACGAAATGCCAAAACATTACAAAAAATCTCAGAGGCCATGAGGGACAGAGGCTACATCAGGGACGCAACACAGTGCCACGTGAAACTTAAGGAGCTCAGACAAGCGTACCAGAAAACCAAAGAATCAAATGGATGCTCTGGGACAGAGCCCCATACATGCTGCTTCTATGCTGAGCTGCATGCAATTCTGGGGGGCCGCCACCACTACCCCACCCCGTCCATGGACTCCGATGATGGGGTGCTCTCCGCCATGGCTGAGGATTTTGCGGATGGGGAAGATGATGATGAGGAGGACGAGCTTGGGGAAAGCACACAGCACACCGTTCTCCCCGACAGCCAGGATCTTTTTATCACCCTGACTGAAATACCCTCCCAACCCAACGAAGCTAGAGAAGGGACCTCTGGTGAGTGTACCTTTTTAAATATAATACATGTTATAAAAGCAAGCGTTTTTTAATGATTAAGTAGCCCTGAGGACTTGGGATGCATTCGTGGCCAGTACTGCTACTGGAAAAATCTGTTAACGTGTCTGGGGATGGAGCAGAAATCCTCCAGGGACATCTCCATGAAGCTCTCCTGGAGGTACTCTAAAAGCCTTTGCAGAAGGTTTCTGGGGAGAGCAGCCTTATTCTGTCCTCCATGGTAGGACGCTTTACCACGCCATGCTAGTTGCAAGTAATCTGGTATCATTGCATGACAAAGCCTGGCAGCGTATGGTCCCAGTGTTTGCTGGTATTCAAGCAACATCCGTTCTTTACCTCTCTGTGTTATCCTCAGGAGAGTGATATCGTTCACGGTAACGTAGTTGATATAGGGGAATTTGATTAAGGGGCATTCAGAGATGCCCGTTCCTACTGGGCTGTTTGCCTGTGGCTGAAAAGAAATCCTCCCCGCAGTTAGCCACGCGGTGGGAGTGGGGGCCATTGGCACTGAGCTGTTCGCGTTTGGCTAGCAGGGATCTTCCCTGATACCAGCCAGGCGGTGGGGGGAGGGGAAAAGCGATCATCCCAGAGAATTGGATCGGGGGAGGAGGTTAGTTTGGTTTCTGCTGCTGCACGTTAACAAGAAAACTGCAGCACTAAATGGCAAACTCAACAGGCTTTGCTTGGTATGGGAAAGGTTCTGCTGTTATGAAGGTTGCAGAAGCCAAAAGACTATGGCTTACCATGGCCGCCTCCAAGCCAAATTCTGTTGCCCGGCCCTGCGTGTGTGATCTCTAACACCAAAGCCACAGGCACTCAATACAAGATGCAAAATGCGACTGTGTACCAAAATCACATGTGCTATGTAATGTGAATAGCGTTGTTCACCGTGAAAGAGTATAGCCATTGTTCTGTAAAATGTATCTTTTAAAATACTTCACTCCCTTTTTTTCCTCCAGCAGCTGCAAATGTTTCAAGCCTCCCTCCTCTGTCCCAAAGGCTATCTCAGATAAGGCGGTGAAAAAAACGCACGCGTGATGACATGTTCTCTGAGCTCATGCAGTCGTCCGGCACTGACAGAGCTGTGTGGAAGGACACAATAGCAGAATACAGGATGGTGGCCGATGAACGTGAGGAGAGGTAGCGGCAGGAAGAGCAGAGGAGGCATGAGGAAACGTTGGGGATACTGTGGGATCAAATGGACATGCTCTGGCGTCTGGTGGAGGTTCATGAACGGCAGTAGGATCACAGACTGCCACTGCAGCCCCTGTTTAACTGCCCTCCCTCCTTCCCAAGTTCCATAGGCTCCTCACCCAGACGCCCAAGAACGCGGGGTGGGAGACTCTGGGCACCCAACCACTCCACCCCAGTGGACAGCCCAAGCAACAGAAGGCTGGCATTCAAGAAGTTTTAAAGTGGCCTTTTCCTTCCCTCCTACCCTCTTCCCACACCCCACCCGGGCTACCTTGTGAGTTATCTCCCTATTTTTATAATCAATTAATAAAGAATACATGTTTTTTAAATGATAGTGACTTTATTTCCTTTGCAAGCAAGCTGTGATCGAAGGGGGGAGGGCAGATGGCTTACAGAGAATTTAGAGGCAACCAAGGGGGCGGGTTTCATTAAGGAGAAACAAACAGAAGTGTCACACAGTACCCTGGCCAGTCATGAAACTGGTTTTCAAAGCTTCTCTGATGCGTACCGCTTCCTGCTGTGCTCTTCGAACTGCCCTGGTGTCTGGCTGTGCGTATTCAGCGGCCAGGCGATTTGCATCAACCTCCCACCCTACCATAAACATCTCCCTCTTACTCTCACAGAGATTGTGGAGCACACAGCAAGCAACAATAACAATGGGAATGTTGGTTACGCTGAGGTCTGAGCGAGTCAGTAAACTGCGCCAGTGACCCTTTAAACATCCAAATGCACACTCTACCACCATTCTGCACTTGCTCAGCCTATAGTTGAACAGCTCCTGACTACGGTCCAGGGTGCCTGTGTACGGCTTCATGAGCCAGGGCATTAAGGGGTAGGCTGGGTCCCCAAGGATAACTAAAGGCATTTCAACATACCCAACAGTTATTTTCTGGTCTGTGAAGTAAATCCCTTCCTGCAGCTGCTTAAACAGACCAGAGTTCCTGAAGACGCAAGCGTCATGAACCTTTCCTGGTCATCCCACGTTGATGTTGGTGAAACGTCCCTTGTGATCCACCAGTGCTTGCAGCACCACTGAAAAGTACCCCTTGCAGTTTATGTACTGCCTGCCCTGGTGATCCGGTCCCAAGATAGGGATATGCATTCCGTCAATAGCCCCACCACAGTTAGGGAATCCCATTGCAGCAAAGCCATCTAATATGACCTGCACATTTCCCAGAGTCACTACCTTTGATAGCAGCAGCTCAATGATTGCACTGGCTACTTGCATCACAGCAACCCCCACAGTAGATTTGCCCACTTCAAATTGATTACCGACTGACCGGTAGCTGTCTGGCGTTGCAAGCTTCCACAGAGCTATTGCCACTTGTTTGTGAACTGTAAGGGCTGCTCTCATCTTGGTATTCTTGTGCTTCAGGGCAGGGGAAAGCAAGTCACAAAGTTTCATGAAAGTGCCCTTACACATGCGAAAGTTTCGGAGCCACTGGGAATCATCCCAGACCAGCAACACTATACGGTCCCACCACTCTGTGCTTGTTTCCTGGGCCCAGAATCGGCGTTCCACGGCATGAGCCTGCCCCATTAACACCATGATCTCCAAATTGCGGGGGAACGCGGTTTTAGAGAAAAGTGTGTTCATGTCCTCATCACCGCGCTGCCATCGCCTCCTCGCCTGGTTTTTCAGGTGGTGGTTCTGCATACACATACACGATAATGCGCAAGGTGTTTACAATGGTCATAACTGCTGGAGTGAGCTGAACGGGCTCCATGCTTGCTGTACGATGGCATCTGCTCCTGCTTGGGCAATCCAGGGAAAAGGGCACGAAACAATTGTTTGCCATTGCTCTGGTGGAGGGATGGGCAACTGACAACATGGCTTACAGGGTTGGCCTACAAGGAATTAAAATCAACAAAGGGGGTGGCTTTGCGAGAAACAGAATGGCCCCCTCAAGGATAGAACTCAAAACCTCAAGGATAGAACTCAAAACTGGGTTTAGCAGGCCATTGATTTCATGGAGGGAGGGAGGAGAAAATGAATACAAAACAAATCTGGTCTATTTCTTGTTTTGATCCACTTCATCTATCTTTATACATCTTGCTGGCAGCAGACGGTGCAGTACGACTGCTGGCCATCATCATCTCCTGGGTGCTCGGCAGAAGACAGTGCAGTATGACTGCTGGCCATCGTCTTCTGCTGGCTGCTGATTAAAAGACAGTGCACTGCCAGTAGAACTGAATCGCCATGAGACGAAACTTAAAAGGGAAATGACCTAGCTAAGTCACTCCCACGTTTGCCCAGGCACCCCTGACCTCATCGAGGTCAGTTAAAAGAGCACCCTGGACTACGTCGACGACGTCTACCAGTCATACTGCACTGTCTGCTGCCAAAAGGCAATTAACTGCTGCTGTGTAGCAATGCAGTACCACGTCTGCCAGCACCCAGGAGACATACGGTGACGGTGAGCTGAGCGAGCTCCATGCTTGCTTTGGTATGGCGTCTGCACAGGTAACTCAAGAAAAAAGGTGCAAAAGGATTGTCTGTCTTTGCTTTCACGGAAGGAGGAAGGGAAGGGGGGCCTGACGATATGTACCCAGAACCACCCGCGACAATGTTTTAGCCCCATCAGGCACTGGGATTTCTACCCAGAATTCAAATGGGCAGTGGAGACTGCGAGAACTGTGGGATAGCTACCCACAGTGCAACGCTCTGGAAGTCGATGGTTGCCTCGGTACTGTGGACACACTCCGCTGACTACATGCACTTAGAGCATTTGTGTGGGGACACACACAATCGACTGTATAAAACCGCTTTCTACAAAACCGACTTCTATAAATTCGACCTAATTTCATAGTGTAGACAAAGATTATTTTTCACTCTACCACAGATTATCTAGTTACTTCTCATCTCAAATCACAGTGATTTACTATTCCCAGTTGGTCGTCAGATGAAAATCCAACCATGATGGTTAACCTCCCAGTGACCAGTACTATCATAGCTTATTTTGAATGAGCTAATTCCTGTTAGATAGCCACTATAACCTGACCTGTCAAAATGAATTGTTGCTATCAGAATAATCTAAAAAGCTTGCCCAGAAAGTTTAAACACACTTGCTAAAACAGATACTGTTTCAGCATTTTGATTCTTAGACTTTTTTCCTGTTTACATTAGTTTCCTGTTGATTTTTATTGATCAAGTTTTTAAATTAACAAAGCAAGAAGACTTCACCTTGATGCCTTAGTGCAATGCTCAAATCTAGACACTAAAAGTGATTGCAGAAATTATTGTGGAATCAGAAATTAGCCGCAACTTTCTCTTGTTTCTTTGTGCAACATCCCTTGTTGTAAGAAAAGAAGGAACAGAAGCATATTTCTAAAAATGGATCACTGCAACTTGTCTGTTATCAGTGAGATATAGACCTCAGCCAGTTTAACAATGCACTGGAAAGATTCACAAGATGGTCTCAGCACTCTGACAGCCTCCTCCAGATAGTCTGCAGCTATTTTCAGAGTGTTTGTAGAAGCCTTTCCCCAAAGCACAGCCTGCAAGAAATTGGAAAATGAGAAGGCAGTTGATGGACCGCGAGGTCTAGATTCTTGAATCCTACTCCCAGAAGGGCTGTTCTCAGTGACAGTTGGGAGTATTTTGACAATTTCATTGTGGCTCATGAGAAGGTCAGCCACTTGGAGGGACAGGGCAGGGGAAGTCATTAGATGATGAACGGCAGACTCTACAGTCTCAGGGAGATTGCTGTGTTTCAGTAGCACGGCAGCGACCGGACCACCGATACTTCCTAGGATTCCCTTATAATTTTCATAAAGGTCCTTCACAACAGTAATCTTCTCCTGCAGAGAAGTGATGGGCCCAACCATCTTAGCATATAAACGGTGGCTGATGCTCTGCTGCACATCTTTGTCTTTCATTTCCACAACAGCCTGCATCTCTTTCAGAGTACTGATCAGGAGCTGAAGGTTCTCCTTAATGCTGAGGTTTTCCCTCACTGTAATGATGGGGAAGCTGGTGCCAAGGTGCTGATTGAGGATTCGAAATATTGTATTAGTGGAAGAGACATATATGTATATGAAATCATACAAAGTCTGGCTGGCTGCGAGCACCCTTTGTTTATCTCTCTCTGCACCAAAGATGGACAACATTTCCAGAGAAGAGATTTGACACTGAAAAACAAATCAAAAGACATAGGTGAGGAATCTAAGAGGTACAGTACCTGTATCCTGAGTTATAAATCTCTAATAATAATACCGTACACTTTTTTTTTTCAAATCAGAACTACAGTACAACTCCTCCTAAATAGTGTAGCCTCCATTAGCCTCTACATTTCATGTGTCTTGTTTTCTGGGTCAAATGTAGAACTGATGTAAGAAGGTGCAACTCCACTGATTTTCATGCTTATACTAGGAATGAATCTGACCCTTTAAGTGTAAGCAGAAATGCGGAATTAAGAGTAGGAATGAGAACATTCCTCTTGAGGAAGAACAGATTAGCTATTTATTGTTAGATTTACTATAAGTCTTTGGGAAATAATATACCTGTCTTCATCCTCACTAGCTATAATTGTTTTGGTTAAATGTAACATTTTTCCCCCTATGTATATACTGTGTGCGCCATACAAAATTAGAGCAAGGTCCTCTGTGGAGGAAGCAGAAAGGTACTAGGTCCATAAGGGGCATTCTTCAGTCACAGGGCAGAATGGCTCAGGACTGGGAGTCAGGCACACTATTTCTTCCTTATTCTGGAGTAGTGAGCATCTGCTCAGCATGCACGTGTTGCTGAATGTTGTAATCCTGATATTCAACTAAGGTTATGTACACATTGCTTAGCCAGCATTCCACAGCTCTTGGTAGGTTGAGACACAAGCAAACTCACTGATTGGACTTCCATTTTATCATTCTTTTGACTGCTAGGGAGAAACTCTGCCCTACTTCTTGCACAGCGGTGGTGAAGGGTAAGAGTTTCTCCACCTCTGTTAGCCCCTTCTCAGTGCACAAGAGGGGAGGATCTAGCACTTGAAATGTCAACAAAAAAGATTAGTGATGGGCAAGCCAGACTAAATCTTTTCCCCAGACTCAAGAGCTCTGAAAGAGTTGTGATTAACATTCTTTAAACAAAAAAGTCAGATATCCCTGAATTTACTGGTTTGGGCTGTAAGTGGAAGTTCTGAAAAACCATGAGAAAGACCATTTGTGTGTTCTGTATTCCAGTAGAAACCACCAGTTATCTCCCAAGAAACTCTGTTCTCTTTACATTTCCAGTCTGATTTTCAGATTAATACAGTTCAGATAAGCATCTGAACTGGAAAGAAATGACGATTTTATGAGGTTTCTCCAGCACTAATTCAGATCTGTCTCAAAAGGGCAGAAGGATTGTTGGATGTATTTCCTGCTCATGAAGGGCTCAACTCTGCTTCCTTTTAAATTGGTTGCAATTTTTCCATTCACTTCAGTAGGAGCAGAATCAGGCCTGAAATGTGTTATGTTCTTGTGCAAGATAATACAAGTTCTAACAATGACCTAAGAACTATTGGTAACAAAATGGAAACCAAGAAGAATTCCAAGCACTGTATCAGTGGCTGGCATGTGGGATTTACCAAGTCTTTATAAGAAAGAAAATATTTAAAAATATTAAACAAATCTTAAAATATTTACAAATATGGTATTTCCTAGTGTACATGGAGGAATAACTGTTCATTTCTTGTTAAATGATTGCCAATCACATTCTAACCTATAGGATGAAGACTCCAGAACAGAAGGATTAACACTGACCAGAAACCTTACAGATGTAGAAAAGGAGTACTTGTGGCACGATAGAGACTAACAAGGTGCCACAAGTCCTCCTTTTCTTTTTGCGAATACAGACTAACACGGATGCTACTCTGAAACCTTACGGATGTAGTATCAAGGAGTTGAATTTGGCAGGAAGCCCTGCACAAACTGGATGAATGCTTAAAGGGAACAAAGCTTAGGTGATGGTATCTCTATATCAGTCAGAGAAGAAAAGGCACATTCCCGCACCTCTATCCACTCGGGATGTGATATCATCAGGTCTTGCAATCTAAACTAGATGACCCTGGTCAGTACTTGAATGGGAGACTTTAAAATAAAAACAGAAATCAGAATGTTGCACAAAATTAGTGCTTATGTAGTTAGAATTCTCTCTCTGTGCTGATTTCTTGCACACCCAAAACTCTGATGTCAAGAGGATTTTTGTGCCTGATTCTCTATTGAACCAATGTCTCGTCATTCAGAGGAAAACCAAACTGGAAATTATGGATTAACCTTTCCTCACCTGGCAGTAGAACAGAGCTTTTCCTGTCATTCTCAGAATGTATCCATTTTGACTTGAGGAAGGGTCTGTCAGTTGGTGTGGCCATGGAGACTGCATCTGACACGCAGGAGGTCCCTCTACCCAAAGTGTGATGCACGGCCATGAGTCTGTCTTTTTGTGAGACTCCCAGCATGGAGTTTAAATGGGATTAGTGTTGGAGTACAGGCTGCCCTGCTGTGACAGAGGTTTGTACTACCAAGCATATATTTGGTGGTATATACTCTTCTATTTGTGTTGGACTGCCCATGACTTCTCTTTTGGAATTCACAGATTTACAGCTACAGCAGAACACGTAGCTGTTTGTGATTATGTTTGCAGGGCACTCAAGTTTATGAAGTATATATTGTTAGAAATGTTTTTGATGGAACATGTGTTAGATGCATATGAATTTGTACTGTACCTGTTCCTTTCATAAACAGAAGGCTGCAGGTTCTAGGGTTGTGAATCAAATTGTTTTATCAACATGAAATAAACTAAACAATTTTAAAATTGAAAGGGGGACAGAGAAACAATGAGCTGAGGCTGGGTATAGCGTCCAGAGAGCAGTGTTACACTAAAATAATCTACAAACCAGGCAGGCAACAGGACCCAACTGTAGCAACAATCCCTGCAGACCTAGGTCATCACATTCCACCAGAAACAGCCAGAGAAATCCAGTGAAAAGAGAATTTACTGTCCTGCACATCTACAGCTGATTACAGAGCTCTGACTAAAAAGCAGGTAGGTAGCCTTTATGATTTGCTGTGTAGAATCCCTTAAAAATATTTATGTTGGGCTGCAGAGGCTGACTTATAGTATGCACAAAGATTTAAATAAATATATATGGACAGCTTGGATATTGACTATAGGAGTAATATAACATCATCTGAAAAGTGTCAATGCCAAAGAGGGAGAGGGTTATGATGTTCAGAGGAGGTATAATAGGATAAACTGAAATAATCCTAGATTGGCCAGCAATAAAGAATATGAACTAATAGGCCTCTTCCACTTCTTAAATTTCTATTATACTAATAACATTCACAATAGTTGTGCTCCATTCAGCACATTTCATCCTCTCCAAATGTCTACAATACAGTACTAACCAACAACCTTTAACAGAGAACTCATTAGAGGGAAAGGACCCAAATACCACTCTGAGGAAGAAAGAAGTCTGTTCTGTTTTCCTTAGGCAGAATTGAAAAGAAATCATACCCGCTTTCACAAGGCTTTGTTTCAGTTCAGTTCACGGCTTTTCATCAAAATCACAAACTCCTAGTGTACATGAACAATACCTCCTCCATCCTGAAAGGAAAAAGAAGCATGAGTTGAAGAGATTGCCCTATTTATTTATTTTTTTTGACAGAACTTCAAAAGAAGTGCGTGAAGGAAATGCAGTAGATGTAATATATTTGGATTTTCATAGATCAGTGTAAATTTTCCACACAATGTTACTAATTATATAAATTCCAATTGGCTTGTGGCTGAACACGGTCACTTGGATCGAAGGCTGGTTGAAGGGCGACTCAAAAAATGATATATAACAATGCAACCTGCTGAGGAAGGGAGTGGCGTCTAGTGGAGTACCACCAGGTAGGTGACAGCTGATTCTAAATTGGCAAGTGTTGCAAAAACTAGTAAGGACAGACAAATGATATGAAGGAGCCTAGTACTAGAAATAGCTATCTGAGCTACCATATCTTAGATATTTGTGAGGTGCCTATCATTTTATTATCTAAGCACCGATAACAAAATGAGTGGAAAAATGCAGGCTAGTACACAAAAATAACCCCAAACCCAGATTGTCAATGAGAAGGAGGATAATGCAAAAATAGAAACCAGAAAACCTATGCACCCAGGGATGAAGGTGAATCGCATAGTAGGTATGATTTGTTACTGTAACACAGAAGCAAAAAAGGCCAAGAAGTGTCAGGCTGCATGTAAAAAGGCAACATGTCTTGGGGCAGGGGAATAATACTCCCTTCTAGGGCAGTGCTAGAAAAATAGTGACAAACTAGAGACTGTTTAGACAAGGACAACACAAATTATTAGGGGGAAGCCTGTAGGGAAAGATTGAAAGAGCTAAAATGATATATTACAGCTTGGTTAAGTGATAACTAGAGCCAGATTCTGCCTAGCCTTTACGGTGGTTAGGCCAAGCAGCCTGTGCACTCAGGCAGAATGGCAGACCTTGCAGTCAGGGGAGCAGTGTCTGCTCAGTTCCTACTTTCCCAGGCACACAGCATTCCCAAAAGAAGTGTGAGAGAAGATGGGGCTATAGTACTCCCACCAATTGCACTGGAGCAGGACTGACACACAATGGAGAGAAGGTCGCTACCCACAAAAGGGTGTGGAAGTGGATGTGTTCTCTCCTGTGGCCAGGGGGAGTTGAGAGAGAGATTTTTTCTCTGAGGCAGGATGCCTCCTGGTGCTCCAACTAGGGCAGTGCAATTAAGCATCACCCCTTAATATGGACAGTGCCTAAACGGCATGCTCTAACTAAATTTGCAACAAGATAACCATCTTCAGATATTTGACGGATGGAGAAAATTTCTATGGTGATAGGGAAATAAACAGGAATACTGAGATCAAATTAAGAAAGCGAACATTTAGGTTAAATATCAGGGCAAAAATACACTGAGATATATTAGGTGATGTGGAAGGTAGTATAAGTTAGGCCTTGGCTACTCACAAAAGTTGTGCCATATTAAATATTCCGGTATAGTTAAAGCCATACATTCCCCTCTGTGGCTAATACTGGTATAAAGGTGCTTATTCCAGGATTACTTATTCCCCTTTGGGAACAGGAATTCTTAGGCTCTGTAGAATTCAATATTTTTTTTTTCAATTTCAACAATATTGATTTTGATTTTTTTCAAAAAATGTTTATTCTTACAGTTACAGGAATGAAGGGGGGATAGGGTTGGGGTTAGGGCAGTGCTGACAGCAGGTCTGCAGGGGGCTCCCTGTGCAGTCGAGGGGCCCAATACACCCATGCATAAGGTGTGAGGGATGCTGTGGTCCTGGCCAGCCAGAGCAAAGATCCCTGGACCTGCAAGGAGGACGAGGCCCAAGCCACAGGGTGCTGCTGAACAGTTTCTGCCCCAGATAACCTCTGCACTTCTGGCTGGTGAGTAAGTGGGGCCAGGACAGTAGGACTGCAGAGCGCTACCTCTATGAGGTAGCTGTGAGGCCGGTGACACCCCATCTCTGTAGGCGCAAAGTGCGGGGAAGGCTGTAGTCCTGGCAGGGCAGAGCAGAGACCATTGGCCAGGGCTGCAAAGAGGAGGATGAGCTCTCAGCTGTGTGGGGGAGGCCACCCTACTTCTGAATGGCTCCTGCATGGGGATGGGCGCTTGGGGGCAACTCCTCCTCCTTGCAGGCCTGGCTGGGACTCTGCTCTGTCCCACCAGAACCGCAGTCTTCCTCACACTGTGTGACTGCAGGGATTAGGTGTTACCGACACCAGCCCTGAAGTGGCGCAGGGAACCCTGATAGCAGGACTGCAGAGGGCTCCCTTTGTTGCTACAGGACCCGTGACGCCCGAATCCTGGAGAGGCCAGGTGCAGGAAAGGCTGCAGGCCTGTTGGGGCAGAGAAGAGACTCACAGACCCAGCACTTCCAGCTGGTGTGACAGCAGGGCTGTGACAGCGGGGCTGCAAAGGGCTTTCTTCACTGCCACAGAGCCAATCACACCTGATCCCTGGGGCCACAGGGTGGGGGTAGGGGAGGGGAAACTGCACATGCGCTGTTACCAATGGCTATTTTTTCATTGATTTCAGTGCGTCAGCTGAAAGAAATGTTTAGCAACATCTATCCATTGTTATCCAATCCTGCCAAGCCTAACTATACTGCTACATGGCACCTTTATACCAGTATAATTGTGTCCACACTAGTGGTTTTACTGTCATAACTATTTTGGTAATGCGAAATTATTACACTGATAGAAAAACTGTGTGTAGAACAAGGTTTTGACTTCGACTTTCTCAGATTCCCTTAGACTTATTTTATACCAACTTGCTAATATGTGAATAAGTGTAAGGGATTCAAGTCAGTTTAATGTATGGACCAAAGAGCCGGAAGAAGGAATAAGCTACAGGAAGGACAGGCCTACTTTACCTTAAACGTGTGATAACACTGATCTGTGAGCTGCGTTTTTTGATACACTCCTCTCTTCTAGACCATTGGTGGCATGATTTACACCTACTCAAATTCCCTTGCAGTCAGTCAGATTCATTCATTGGGCTAAATTCAAAGGTGATGTCAGTTCACAATGCTAAGCAGGTAAAAGTTTAAGGAAGTCTATTGTGGTGTAATGTATATGTTGGACAGATACAGAAGTTGTAAATTATGTCATTTTAAGACTACTTCAAGACAAATTGAGTCACACCTCTGGATTTGACTTGTTGGGTCTAAAGTGAATCACTGACCTAGAGGCTCTGTATCCCAGTTCCCAATGCAATCCAGTCCCCTTCTAGTGTTCTGGGTTTTAAAGATGGTAACAAACCTTATTTTTCCTCTCTCTGTAGCTCTTCTCTGAAGAATGGCTCTGAGTGACCTCCTCTACCCAGATAACCCGAAGAGACGTCAAGAAGTGATCCGTCTGCACCAGGAGCTGCTGGACTGCATGTTGGTTAATTTCCATGCCACGGATGAACTGATTGCAGTACTGAATGCACACTTGGGGTGTACAATTGCCCAGATTAAGATGGAAAAGGGTGGCACAATCAAGGAAAACTGTGACATTATCATCCAAGCCATGAGTGAGATCCAACAGGAAGTATGGAAGATTGACAAAAAAATGAAGGAAATGCTGGAGCCAATGCTGTACCAAAAGCTTTATGATATCAAAGAGCCAGAGATGGAGAAAATTGCAATAGCACACAAAGCTTTTTCGATTGTTCTAGGAGAAGCTACTTCCATTGCTGGTATGGTAGCTGTAAAACTAATCGGCTCAAATATGATAATTATTGCTGTTAATAAGCTGGTCACTCTGCTAGCCCAGATTGGTGCTTCTGTTCTTGGAGGTATTGGTGTTGCCATTCTTGGGCTAGGTATTGACATGATCCTCCAGGCCATCCTGGGAGCAGTTGAGAGGGATCAACTTCTGGGAATTGTTAAAAGTTATGAGGAGCATCTGGTCGAATTTAAGGCAGCCTCAGAAAAATATCAGCGTGCCATAACTGAAGTAACATCTATGGTGAAATGTAAAATTAAATGAATGGCTTTTAATGTTCTCTCTGGCTGTCACAATGACCACACCAGTTATGCTTATATTAACTTTTCTGATTCTTTATGGTAGAGTGAGTGCTCTTACTTCTTTTTTAGCAGCACATAAGATAGCCATGAAAATGGGGGCCTTGATGGCTCAGGACATTGGCACAGAAATATACCAATAGGTAATTAGTTCAAGCCCACTACAAGTAGGTAGTGTATGACAGTACCTGCTCCAGATGTATGGTAGCTTGTGTGAACCAAGTTGGTTATTTCCAATCCACTTCCAAATGCTCAAAGTACAAAAATCATCATCATCATCATAACTATCACTAATTTCTACAGTCTGGAAAAAGGCCAGGTTAACATGAGACACTTTTGCTGGATTAGTAATGTCAGTTAGGGACATGATTTTTAAATGACATTTCTATACCACAAGAACCCTAGTGGAGATGTAATTATACTGGCAATAAAATAAAATAAAATAAAATAAAATAAAATAAATGTTTTTGCTGAAATAAGATGCATCTACACTAGGAGGGCTTGCTGCTATAAGTATATTGGCAAATCTTTTCCAATGTAGATGCACCTTATTTCAGTAACCTTTATAGGGGAAGATCAAAGAATATTTAACTGCCATTTCCTGTAACTATTGGACCAGTTTGGTGGAGCCATCCAGTGCCCATCTTAAAATAAATTCTAATCCTGACAGATTTTGGTTTGGAAAATTCCCTAAACCCTGTAGTAAAGAGAAGTTGGCTCTAGTATTCCAGGGGGGTTTATCTACAGTATCTCTTACTATACTTTTTGTATCTTCATTATGGCCCTGCTCCTATAAACACACATGTAATTAACCTTGTGTAAGTGTGTAGTCCCATTAGGGTCATTGGGACTATATACATGCAAAAGTGTTTGCAGGATCGTTGGCTTATAAATCATAGGACTTGTTATGCTATTTTATTTTATTTTCCTTTAAAGTGATTCACATGATAGTGATGTGAGCATACGGAGGGCTTGTTCAATACCGTTCTGAGTTTCATACATCATTACAGGAATAGCACAAAATTAAATGTCCTTAACTCACATATTTTGTAAACAAAAGGCTAGAGCAGAAAGTTTGATTTGTATTCTCTCTCTTTCTCTGACATGCTGTGATTTGTTTCTTTGCTTTGTTCTTTGCAAAAAATTGTAATTTAAAATGAATTAGAAATATACATTATAGGTTTTGAGAGTTCTCCTCCCTGTGTGTGGCTGATTTAGTGCATATGTACGTGTTCCTTCTATCTCAAAAATCAAACCACATCTACATAATTCACAGTACTTACTAAGGGAAAGATTACAATCTCTATTATAGGATGCCGTATATAAATTGCTCTGCATATATATATTATCATTTATAGATCAGTGTTCATCTCACGCTCCCCATCATTACCTGGCCCGGGCCAGGGAAGCTAATGATCCAACCAGCAGACCCAATTCGGCGATGAAATCTGGTCACATGCCACCTGAGGCACGTTGTGCATATGCTAAGAACAAGATTCCAGGGCTGTACACAGGTCCATCTTTTCATACTCCACAAATATGATATTGTTACCAAACAATTCAGAAATATTCATTAATACTTAACAGTGGTTTTCTATAATAGTAATAACTGGCTCATATCTGTGAATAACTATTATTTTGGGGACATTGTAGCAGAGTAGCTCCTTCTCTTTTCATCCCCTTCCCATTCTCTTTTTCCACTTTTTAATCTTTTCTTCTCCCTCTATCTCCCCTCCTTCTCTTTAAATCCCTCTTCCCTTTTCTCTCTTGTCCTTCCCTTTTCTAGGTCTCATTTTCTCTGTAGGCTGCAGCCCTAGAAGACAATGCAGTTGTGTACACTTCAGTTTGTCTGATCCATTCAGCAAAAGGGCATTGGGAGGACCTACAGACACACACCTAGCAATCTATCTCGGGAGACAAACCCCCATAAACCATTAGGAAATCCCCAGTAAAAATTATAAAAATGTAAAGACAAAGAAAATTTCATTCACCTTTCTATATTTCCTTGACAATGGTGGGAAAGAAGGAAAGACAAATCCACTGGGGAAGGAGAAGGGAGAAGAGGGTGCTCATCTCTGTGAAATACTCCTATCAGAGGTTGTGGCAGGCAAGCTGTCCCACAGAATACGGAGCATGGGGGCAGTGACCTCACAGAGGCCTGTGACAGGTCAGCAGTCCTGCATGATCCAGATGAGGCAGCTACCTCACAGAGGTATATGCAGATAAACCAGACAGGAGGAACCTTGTGCTTTACCTTGAAACAGGCTAAAGTCAACTGTAAATTAGCCCAGACATTTACCAAATTCTTCTTTCTAAATCCAACAAAAGTATAATTTGGGTGGTTATTTTTATTTGTAAGGGGACTGTTGGCCCCTTACTAAAACTTAATGTTTTTTTGGGCTGTGAAAAAATGTATGCCCTGACCACAGTAGTTAGGTCAACCTAACCCTGGATGGAGAGGAAGGAAGGAAAAGTCATTGGGAGAGAATGAAGAAGGGACAAAGGGCATATGACAGAGATTGGAAGTACCTGTGGGAGGACTGGGGAAAAAAAAAAGGATGGCGATTATAGTTGTAACCACTAGGATTTTATTTTTTGGTAAAATTTTCCCCATGTTGCTATTAGTTCAGCTTCCCTATTAGCAGCAAAGATGAGAGCATTTCAGGGTACAAGTGGCTACTAGCATTTAAAGCATCCTGCCATATAACAGTACTGCCAAGTCTTGTAACATTTGGTGTTTTTCTTAAAGTCCCAGCTCCTGAAAATGTGTAATTATGTAAGAATTTCAGCTTTAAAACAAAGAAGGCTTTAGTGCTCATGGCTTCGGAGGAAAGGATGAAAAAGTTATTTAAGTGCAGCATAAAGTTCAAAAACTATAAGGCAAATAAAAAGAACCCAACATTTTATATTTTAAACCAATCTCAAGATTTTTGGGGGTGTGTGGGAGAACTGACTCATGATCCTTGACTGGGTGGAGTTGGTAATATGACATGTAGCTACATTTAGCTTGCACCAGGGGCAAGAGAGGGAAAAAAGCACATGTGGGCACTGGAAGTGCTGGCCTGGAATGGGCAGGACATATTAGGCGGTAGGAGCAGAGAAGGGAGAAATCAGAAGCGCAGGAAACCAGCAGGAGGCCTATCTGGTGCCTGCAATTTAGGCCTGGTCTGCACTAAAAGGTTAGGCTGACCCAGTTGTGTCACTCAGGGGAGTGAAAATCCACAGCCCAGTGTACACAGCCCTAGGTCGATGGAAGAAATCTTCCCTGGACCTCGCGTCTCCGGAGGTGGATTAACTACGCTGGCAGGAGAACGCCTCCGATCGGCGCAGCCCGTGTCTACACCGAAGCTGGGGCTGGCTGGATTAAACCAAAAGCACTTTCCCCTGGTGCGAAGGGCCAGAGAAGCAGAGGACTCAGCGAAGCCCGGGATCACGCGCTGGGAAAACAGCAGAGGCGCTGCAGGGCAAAGGCTCCCAACCAAGGCACCGAGCACAGCCTGGGGGCAGAAGCTGCGCGAGAGCCGAGGCGGCGAGCAGGGCGCGTGACAGCATGAGGGGCGGGGCAGGGGGCGAGGGGAGCTCAGAGAAGGTCACGCAGCCTGGTAACCCCGGGAGCCGGAGGCGGGGCATAAGCAGCCCCGCCCCCAGCCCGTCAGCGCCCGCCGGCCCGCGCAGCCTCGCGGCGTGCCCAGAGCTGGGACACGCCCCCTCCTCCGCTGTTACCGCCCCTTTCCACTGCAGCCTCACGTGATCCCCCTCTCGGGCGACTGGGCTAATAGTCGGCAGAGCCCGCTTCCCTCCTTCCGCCGCACCATCGAGCCTGAGGAGGTCTGTTCTAGAGCGGCCCGAGGAGGGCGACGCTCCAGCGGCCGATTTCCGGCACCTCTAAGACTCTCGCGCCCAACTGGTGGTTCCGGGGCGGAAGTGGCGCGCGAGTCCCGCCCGCGACCATTCAAGATGGCGGCGATGCCGAAGAGGCGAGGAGCTGGGGGTACAGCGTAGAAACCACCGCCCCGCAGCGAGGCAGAGGAGCTCGGCTCCCGCCCTTCAGAGGGGTGAGAGGAGCAGAGTAGGGTGGGAGACCGACCGACCGCTCGCTGGCGGTGCTCCTGCGGGTCCCTGGGCTGCTTCTCTGCCCTCGTCTTTCTCCCCCTCCCCCTCTCGGGGGAGAGGAGCAGCCCAGGGACTTGCCGGGCCGCGGGGGAGAGAGGGGGAGGGGGTGTTATCGCGGAGCTGTAGGAGGTGGGGTTCTGCCGGCCCCCAGGCGCACACAGGCCCGGCCCAGGCTGGCGGCTCTGGGAGAAGGAGCCGTAATGCCGGGGAAGTTTTCAGGCGGTGGGAGCCGGGTAGCTAGGGGTGGGGGCAGGTAGCGGCATGAAGCCGGTTGTGGTCAGCAGAGCAAGGGCTTGTTCCCAGCCGCATCTGTGTCTCAGGCTCACTGTTGGCTCGGACCTCATGTCTTGTAGGCCTGGAGTCTGTACAGGGAGGGGGCTCGTACCCAGCTGTCCTGTATCGAGACAAGGTGGGGTTACGGCTACCAACAAGTTAATGGCCCGAGCGTCTGGTGTCCTCAGGGTTTTCGAAGCGGGATGGTGGGGGAGGCGATCTCAGTATTACATACCTGAGAAATGCAGAGTTTGGGTCCCTTATGTGAGAGAGATAAATCTGTTAATTCCCTGCCCTGTAGCGTTCCTGGCTAGAGAAAGAATGGTCTGAGAAATCAAACTCGTGCTGCCTTAACTGTCCATAAGAGATGGCTTATTTTATCAGTGAACACACAATCTAGACTGCTTTAGTTGTAAGCATGGCTGTTATGGCGCTTTATAGCCAGACAGTACAGATAAAAGCATTTTACAAATGCTGAATTAACCAGTATATTGAATGCAATCATTCGTAGCTCTTCAGTAAGGGTCCAATCTGCTCACATACTCAGGGCACCTAATGCCACATTCGTGCACTGCTCAGTACCTTAAGGGCAATCATTTGATTATAATTATCATTACATGGCAGATGATTCGAAGTTTCATTAGACACAAGCTAGCATGTCTTCATATCCAAACTTTATAGCTCCAGATAATCAAATTAGAGCACTTGCATAAAAAGAGGAAAGGTTAGTATGATGACAGATCTTCACACTTTGTACTAGAGACACAATTTATGAAGAAAAATTCTAAATCCAGATGTTCAACAATGCACATTTTTGAGACTCTTCACGTAAAGGAGAGCAGATGATAAACTTGTATCCTTGTGATAGAGAAGTGATTAGTACGGGATGTATGGAAAGAGTGTACAGAGAGGTATACGTGGTAGGCTGCAGCAGGACGATAGAGCTTGTGCAGCCTTAGATTCAACTGGATGTCATGTTTCCATTTGGATAGTTGTTTAATGGAACACACTAACTTTTGAACATCGGATCAATTCTAAAATTTCAAAGAATGTTATAGATATCAGTGGGCAGAAGAACACTATTGATTTTGAGGAAGGGGAAAGGGGACATGCAGAGATTCTGCCATTGATTTAGCAGAGCTGCCCACAGCTTCAGGTACCTCTGTAGTTGTTTACAGATTAAATAACTCATCGATGAAGCTAACACCTTGCAACATAACAATACGCCATCTCTTCTCTGTCCATCCTCCCAATAGAATTTGATGTTGACATCCTGAGTGATTTATCTCCCAGACAAGAAGAAGAGCAGTAATAAAGGGGGGAGAGTAGGGGGACACAGAGCCGTGGCATGTAGGCCAGTGGAGAAGAACTGTGCAAAGAAGGGGGAACCCTGTTATGAGGGAAGGGGGAACGTGGGACACAGAACTCCTGGAATGGGGGTGAAATGGGAGATCACACTGAACCCCTGGTGAGGGGGAGAATCGAGAACCCTGCAGTGGGAGGATTGGACGGCACTTGGAGATCCTGTCATGAGGTTGGGAGTGTTTCAGGGAGTCCCTGAAATAGAAAGGGATGAGATGATGGCATACAAGGAGTTGGTGCAAGGGGAGAGGGAGGAATGCAAGGAGCCCCTGGTGTTTGCAAGGAGCTCTGCCCTACAAGTCTGCTCAGGCCTACTGCCTGAACCCAGCTGACCAAGCCCTAGAGGATTGAGTAATTTTCCAACCCAACCCTGACATTCGTCCCCAAACCTGAATCAGCCCTGCTGTTCTCCTCCTGCCCATGCTGTTGGAGCTGCAGCAGCTGTGGGCCATCCTGCTGCAGTGTGTGAGCTGCAGAATGACAGGCACTTGGACTGTTCAGCATGCTCACTTTGCAGTTCACACAGTGCAGCGAGATGGTGGTGGCCACCAGGAGCAGAGCATGCAGCCGCTGCTGTGCTGACCCCATTGCAGAGCAGACATGAGCCCAGGAGGGTCTGGCTGTTTTCACACCCGACCTGGGCCTGACACTTGTAGTTGTGTTGGGCTTAGGTTGAGTTGTAGGGCTCTACTCTGATTACAGAAGCAACAAAGTGTGCAAAACCCTAGTAAATACATTATACTTTTCATTTGCTTATTGAAATGAATGAGATGCAGTAGTCATTTGCTGACAAAATGGTGTGTTTGTGCAGCTTTGTATGTTTGCCTGAGTTTGCAGTGGCATTCTGTACATTCTTGAGAGCTGGGATTTAGGGAGGCGATAGACATTTGAGTTTCTGGGAAAACAAGCACTAATGCGGGGGGAAGAGAAGGAATTGGAGTATGCAGACTACTACATATGGCGTGTGATGTGGCTTTTTCTTTTTCAGGTGTCTTTTTTTTTTTCCCCCTGGTTTAAAGAAGCAATAAAAAAAATTGGTCAAAATGGGGCGGAGATCAACATCCTCCACCAAGAGTGGGAAGTTCATGAACCCTACAGACCAGGCCCGTAAGTATCCACTAAATTTCTTGTTGTAAGCATGGTTAATTCATCTGAGATAAAGATGGGAATGAAAGCTGGTTGGGAGTCAGGTCAGATTCCACAAGCATTGTGTAGTTAGAGGAGGAAACGACTACACATATCTATTCCTCCTGTATTAATGTAATTACTAAAATTCTGATGGTCAGATAAGCATCTCGAAACAAGCAAAAAGATCAACTCTCACTATCAAGTACTTCAGCTGGTTATTATTAGCAATGTTCTAAGTTTGTCAAAAATGTAGATTTTTTTAAAAAAAATGTTGTTTCTATTCTGTACATAGAATATTTCAGTTTCTAAGGTGTTAATCATTTAGTGAGCATTAAATTCATACGGTCTTGTTTCAAAAAGACTGCTTAGTCCCGAACTTGTTACATCGATTAGGTGGGTGTGTATAGAAATATCTCTGCTTTTGGAGGAGTGGGGTTGCCAGTATGGCCATCTGTTGTCGTCTTTCTTCTGTAATGGGTATGAAATATGATTGTTTCTAATCGAATATCCAAGACTGTAAAAGTGGGGGTGGATAAAATTTGGCTTTTTGATCACAAGCTGTTAAGAAACAGGACTCCAGTAGTCATTTCTCTCCTCTGCAGGAAAGGAGGCCCGGAAGAGGGAGCTGAAGAAGGTAAGACGCTATTACCATCCTTAAGAACACCTGGCTAACACCATTCTAATATGCATCACATTCCCAACTGTTATGGGCTTGAGACAATAGGTAGAATCCAGACTTTATGGTTGGCTCCTCAGGAGTCACTTTCTTTCTGTGGAAGATGTTGTCTGACCAATTAATTTAAAGGAATGTTGCAGCCGGGATCAAGTGGAGTGCCCCAAGGGTTGGTCCTGGGGCCGGTTTTGTTTAATACGTTCATTAGTGATCTGGAAGATGGTGTGGATTGTACCCTCAGCAAGTTTACAGATGGCACTAAACTGGGAGGAGTGGTAGATATGTTGGAGAGTAGGGATAGGATAGAGAGGGACCCAGACAAATTAGAGGATTGGGCCAAAAGAAATCTGATGAGGTTCAATAAGGAAAAGTGCAGGGTCCTGCACTTAGGACGGAAGAATCCCATGCACTGTTAAAAGACTAGGGACTGAGTGGCTAGGCAGCAGTTCTGCAGAAAAGGACCTAGGGGTTACAGTGGACGAGAAGCTGGATATAAGTAAACAGTGTGCCCTTGATGCCAAGAAGGCTAACGGCATTTTGGGGCTGTATAAGTAGGAGCATTGCCAGCAGATCGAGGGACGTGATCATTCCCCTCTATTCGGCATTAGTGAGGCCTCATCTGGAGTACTGTATCCAGTTTTGGGCCCCACGCTACAAGAAGGATGGGGAAAAATTTGAGAGAGTCCTGTGGAGGGCAACAAAAATTTGTAGGGGGCTGGAGTGCATGACTTATGAGGAGATGCTGAGGGAACTGGGATTATTCAGTCTGCAGAAGAGACGAATGAGGGGGGATTTGATAGCTGCTTTCAGCTACGTGAAAGTGGGTTCCAAAGAGGATGGAGCTAGACTGTTCTTGGTGGTACCAGATGACAAAACAAGGAGTAATGGTCTCAAGTTGCAGTGAGGGAAGTTTAAGTTGGATATTAGGAAAAACTTTTTCGTTAGTAGGGTGGTGAAGCACTGGAATGCGTTACCTAGGGAGGTGGTGGAATCTCCTTCCTTTGAGGTTTTTAAGGTCAGGCTTGACAAAGCCCTGGCTGGGATGATTTAGTTGGGGATTGGTCCTCCTTTGAGCAGGGGGTTGGACTAGATGACCTCCTGAGGTCCCTTCCAGCCCTGATATTCTGTGATTCAATGGTTCTCATCCAAGGGTATGCGTACCCTTGGGGGTACACAGAGGTCTTCCGGGGGTACATCAACTCATCTAGATATTTGCTTAGTTTTACAACAGGCTACATAAAAAGCACTAGCAAAGTCAGTACAAACTA